CTGCTGCAGTCAGACAGCCAAGATGTCTGACGATGAGGAGTTCTTTGGGAGGATGCATTCGGGCGTACTGTCAGTTCTATGGGTTAACGCATCAAGCATTTCCACGACCCTATTATGCTCGGTAATGCTAAAACGGAGAAAGCGGCAGCCTCAGAAAAGCTTGAGCGAGCGACGGAGCGAGTGAGCCCTTTTGGTCATGCGTTAATTGTTCTGGTATTGAACTATATAGTGTCTGAGGGCTTTTTGTACGGAACACGTTGTTGTGCTGCACACTTAGCGCACATCTCGTTAGTTGAGGTGGTCTTCATAGTGCGTGTGCGTCGCGTCCAGGATTCCTGCTGACCCGCCAGTGGCTCGGGATAGCGCTTTTGGGAAGCGGTGCTTCAAGATTCAAGTTACAATTTGGCAAAGCTACGGAAAGCAGCCATTGTATAGGCAGCGGGGCTTTTGTCGGGATGAGCGGCCATCTAATCCTGATCATCACACCATCGATCACTGTAGTGACGACTGCCTTCACGATGCGAACAGCAGCAAAGTTGAGCATTCGTAGTAGGCATTACAAGTAGAGGCTGCATTTCAAGCCTTTTCAGTGAAACTCATGCTGTTTTTCCCAGATTTACCGGCCGTGGAGTTTGTCTTTAACTTTCTGTGGGAAACTCCGTAGTCCGTGTGCTTCCATGGCCGCCTTCGCCGTGCTCCTGCCGTGTCTGCTTCTCAGGAGTTGTGTAAAGCCGAGCGTCTTCTATCTGTGTAATTTTCGCGTACGTCTCTCAGTTCCCTCTTCTCCCTATTTAGACCCGTAGCCTACCTTGGAATGATGCGCCCCATGCTGTGTCCTCAGGGCTTCACCGAATTTGCGTCCTTTTGTCATCTTCTTTATTAATTTTGCATCCATTCCTTTCCATATAAGTATCACTCGAAGGTATCTTTCATTGAAGTGATAATTAATTAACTGAACGCGTATTACTGGCACTACAGTTCCTCTTAAGTCTGCTAAAGCGTTACACGAGTACTGCATATTGTGACATTATATATACTATTAATGATGCTACTACGCTCTTTCATTGTGTGCGGCTCGTGCAGATTTCCAATAGATTGCTAAGTGTACCTCCAGGCAGCCGTTGAAAAGGAGCTGAGCCTTTTCACTAGCCTGCAGTCGACGGAGTAAACTCACTACGTGCGTTCTTCAATGGCTGGATATGCTCAGTAAGCGCTACCTTTTATGTCTATATATCCGTGGTGAACAGCGACCACGGAGCTTGTTAAAGAGCTCAGTAAAGTATCATAATTGAGACTATTCAGTGACCTGAAGCAAAGAATCTTTCCGTTATGGCCTGAGAATATGTTATCGTGGACAAGCGAACTCATGTGTCAACCCATTCAAGCCAGAAAAACATAATAGAATTAACCCATATATTATTTGTCATTAATGTCACTCCGTTGCTCACTTCAGAGTGTCACCAAGATATTTGAAGAAATTCACTGAAACTATGCTTCCGGGATGAAGGCGCTTGGTGACTTACAGGCAGATGCTCTTGTTCCTTTCCGTAATACTGCGGAGCCCCTGCTAATTTTTCGAGGAGCTGCAAACACGATGGATTGAGAAACTATCCAGCGAACGGAACCACGCTTGAGGTGCTCCTATGAACCGCAGAAGCCGTTTTAGCGTTGGTAAAAGATCTCCAACAGAAGCCAGAAACATTCACAAAAACATATGGTTGAAGATGCCTTTCCAGGAAAAAATGGCTTATTTAAAGGTGAAATGCCTGCGAAAGTTGCGCAGACTCTCGTTTAACTCGCTACACCAAGCGTGCTCACAAGAGAGCAAACTGGTGTGAGAAGAGTCGTTCTACCGGGCTCGGCAGCTCACCAAAAAAACGTCCACCATCAGCAGACGATGGTAAGGTGAGGACTTTCAGGGAAAAGGCAAGACATGGGAACTGAGGCTCCCGTTTACTCCTTACTCAGGCGGAGCTTACACGGACTTAGATAACAAGTCCCATGATACGGATCGCAAGCCTCGCGCTACTTGTGCATGATCAACGGTGATCTGAAATGCTAATCCAGTGTACTTTCCAGCGACAAATGTGCATTTAGGTAGCTGTGATGAAAAGCCCACTGCACGCAAGGTATAGTTCGTGCATGGCGACAAAGGTACATGCCGGTGAAGAACTATAAAGAAAAGCGCTGCATGCTTATACGAGTTGCTTTTCTGTACTTTACAGCTATTTTAAACACCAAAGTACCAGCCAAAATTGCTGTAGAGCCGATCTAGTTCCTCAAAAGCTTTACTACTGCTAGAGCCATTATCGCTATTCCTAAATCAGCAGCAGGGAGGCGCCAAATTTTGGAGCAAGATGATATTGTTCAAGGAGCTAATTAAAGTCTAAAGTTAGCCAGCCAAGGGGAGCGCGCCTTGTGTGACGGATGGGCTCATGATTACGCAAGTGAGAAGGAATACTACTATTTCTATCACAAAAAGGTTAGTTGTCAACTGTGTAATAGTTACCTTTTGTAGGTAAGGATGGCTAGGAAAATGCCAACCGGCACCATGGAATGGTGGATATTCATTGAATGCAGTTGACATGAATAATACGACGGATAAGCAGCATGACAGTATAAATGGCTCCTTTGTAGGCCCAACATAAGTCGAAAGGAAAAGAAACGGAAGGTAGGGAATTTTCATGTGGTTTGGAGGCATTTGATTGTTTTTCTGGGTTTGGAGAGCATCTCGCAAAGGACAGCCGAATGAGTTCCATTCGGGTCGGCATTTCAACAGGGGTCACAGCCAATGGTGAAAGACTCAAAAACAAAAAAAAAATCCAATTATGATTTATTAGCGTGCTTAATATTTAAATGCAGGGTCACCTGGAACAAGTTCGAAGGAGGAGCGGCATATTCCCCCAGGCCCATTGGTAAATGTCTTATCGAAGTTAGCAGCCGTCGCCTTGCCATCCGCATTAGGGGATGGTTCTCCAGGCTTCAAAAGGGATATACTGTACTCAGTTCTATTCGACGAATTTGAAATTATAACTGGGCAGAGACTGAGTGGTGTCTTGCTTGCTAGCTCCTAGGGAGGGGGAGCACACTGCAAAGCGCCGTGAAGGAAAGGCTTCCGAGTTCTGAAATCCGCTTCCTTGTTCTCCACGCGAACAAGAAAATACTAAAATGGGGGAGAACTGTGCTGCCTCTACTTATACCATGAGGTGCAGCTGATCAATTGCATGCATTAAGCGGCGGGCTGAACCCAGAGTAACGGCTTCATGCCCATGCGTGTTCAGTTGAAGGCGTTTGAAGCATGTCAAGAAGAAAATTTCTAAAAGCATCAATAGAGTATCTCTTAAATGGAATACTGTGATAAGGTCTCTTGCGAGCCACTCTTCAGCTTGGAAGGCTCGAGTAATGGTGTAGTGAACAGCTGGCCTACACTGTTACTACGTATGGTCCCTGGGCTAGTCTGACTAAGTGCACACTCTGCATCTACTATCTAAAGTCCATGATTCTCGCCAACTACTGCTGTATACCCTAAATGGCCATATACAACTGAGCTCATATTAATGAGAGGTGAGAAAAACCCAAAATAATAGAACTGACTGTTGACCCTCGCTGAGGGTCAGTGCCTGAGTCACGGCACCAACCTCGCATCCAGCCCCATGCCCGGTGCTGGCTAGCGAGCACTCTATTCCCTTTTATGATTTCCTAATATCCAATGGTGCCTTATGCCTTAAAATATTCTATATTATTCGTGCCCTTTCGCGTTACTAAGCCTCGAGGGGTGTCGACGAAGGTCAATTGTAGTGCCTGGCACTACAAATGGCGTAGTACAACTCGCATTCGGCACATGAACCTTGAATATTTTTCCTCTAGATCACTAGTGAGCGTAGGTCTGGAATTTTTTTTGCAGCCCAAGTGAAAACGAAGAAGGTGCTTGAGGGGTTCGCTGGGAGTATTCACAATGAGATAAAAGGGGCTCACCGGGCCTGTGAGTGGGCACATTTTTCCGGCTTACACGAATAGCGAGCGTTCCTAGTGAAAGCGTATTTTGTATTCGAACACACGTGAGAGCATTTACATATTTTTCTGTTAGTACTAGTCTTTATTATTGCACAAGCTACTGAATACACAATCAAGAAGTGCGCTGCTGACTGTAATCGAAGGAACCTCCAGGGTAACAAGACCATTCGCCGTGGTTGCGTATATTCATTACTGTTGAACCGAGGTCTTCACACTGCCACTGTCACTTAAGAGACCAAAATATGTGCCAATCGCACTGCTAAACTGTCGTATAGGATGCAAAGAATATATTCAGTAGTAAGATAACAGTGGTTGTCGCGCGAGTGCAGACGACCCCCAAGCATGAAGTCCGTTAGTGTATTGACTAATTCGAATCACGGCGGTCAAAGCTGCACTGCTTGTTACGCGCATCGCCTCCTGTCCGGACAAAAGGAACCAATTAAAATAAAAAATGACAATTTAAAGAGTAAGTATGCTGTTTAAATGCTATATCCAGAGTACCCCAGCTGCAAACAACACTGTTACAAGGCCCGCAGCGCAAGATGTCCGGTACAGCAGCGCAGTGCATTACGTTACCCCACAGGTAGAAACGCAGGTACTACTTCAAATATTTTTGCTGCAGAATAAATTGAAATGAATGAACTGGAATATTTCTTAATATCTTTCATACAGGGCGCCATTAAAAAAAATCTGAAACACTAATGGCAGCGGTGGGACCCAGTGACCAGGTTTGTTGCAGCGGCGCCCAGAGTAAAATGCGCATTATCGTGGAACATACCGGGCTATAAGCACACTTCAACTTTAGTTTGGTATTTATATCCAGTAACTTTGTCGTGTATGACAACTTATCCGGGACCTAACCAGCGTTATCCCTGTTCGTCGGTGGTGCCTCCGTATGCACCAGCAACTGCTGCCTGGCTTTTCTGGCCCCTTAATACTTCAACTCGTGCTTATTTCCAGCAGCTCAAGCTCTTAGCGGTGTGAATATGAAGAAGTATTTTGGAGGGGGGCTCCTGCTGCTTTTGGCAGCTGCAGTGCAGCAACTGCTGCTCTTGCCAGCGCGTGCAGCAGAGGGGCCCGCTGTATTGGGGGCCCCCGCCAAGTCCTCTCCCGGAGCCATTACTTCGCGAGCTCCACAACACGAAGCTCCTGGTGGCTTTTCTGATCTATCTGTGACGATCGAAGACGGTGAGACAGAGCCTCCTAGAAGACGTATCGGTACTGGGGCCCCGGGGCCCTTTAAGGGCTCGTGTTTTAGGCCTCCCGCTCCGGCCCAAGTGCTTCCAGGGCCCCAAATAGGTGCGGCGCCTTTGGCGGTGCCCACTGGCCGGGGCCCGTCGACGGCGCTTTAGTGGATCTGCGTAATCTTCTGCAGCTGCTTGACGCCATGACACGGCGCTGTGCGTTTCTGGTTTGCTGCCTCCACATGTGCTGACTCTTCCCACTGAAACCCAAAAGCCTCAACTAAAAGCTTCATCTCGTCTGTGGGCGCCGCGTCTCGCTGCAGATGACGACTCGGAATTCGAAGAAGCCTCTGAAGAGCTGCCGATCCCCAGCGCTTTTGGTCGCCGCCCTGCAGCAGCGCCCGCAGTGACTGTGCCGGCAAGGCCATCGAGTAAGCAGCAGCAGCAGCAGCAGTAGCAGCAGCAGCAGCAGAAACGGCGACAGCAGAGGACGTTATTGGAGGGACCACCCGATACAGATATGTCTACCGTTGTTTGTCCTTCGTCTTGTCATTTGTATGCGCCTTTCATTGTCTTTTTCTTTGACCTACTCCTCCTACACTTTGTGCATCTTAGTCCTTGTTTCTGCCTCTTGCTGCGCCGCTTTGTCCTGCTACTGACCCTCGTGCTGATACCTTGCAGCTGCTGCTGCTGATGGCTTGCCTGTTTTCGCAATTGGTACAGCTGAAGCAGCTTTGGGAGGAGCAGCAAACTCCGCAGCAGGAGCGACTGCCACTGCAGGCGCTGCAGCGGCAGACGCCGCCGCGGCTGCAGCAGTAGCAGCAGCAGCATCAAAGACCCCTAGAGACGGCTGGACCTTCATGCTGTACATATGGCGCATCTTGACGAGATATTATTTAGTTGACATTTCTGCTGCTGTCTTGCTTGTCATGGTTATATGGACGGCCGTTAAGGGGAAGGCAACGAACACAAGAGTTGCTATAAAGTGGTAGGCAGGGCAAATAGGCTTTTTGTCTCAACATATTTGTTTCTTTTCTTCAGATCTGTAACTTCCTCTTCTTTCTCTTTGCTTACTTGAATGAGCTGGCTGCATGCGTCTTTCTTTCTTCACTTGTCTTTTCCATGTGTCTGTCCCAAATTCCATTCCAGCACCTCTCTTTCTTCTTTTGTGCATAACATGTCTGCTTCCTTGGCGCTCCGCTTTGAGCGTTTTTATTGTTTGCCTCATCTGTTTACTCACTTCGTCACTTATCTTTTCGTCTTCCTTTGTCTTTGCTGCCTCATTGTTGTTTCTTGACCACAGTAGTATTTACCGTTTGCATTGTTTGCGATATCGCTTTGCCTTTTTGCTCCTGATTTTCTCTGCTTTTTAATATTTCCATCTTCTGGTGCGCATTAGCTCATCTCAGCTTCTGCTACCGTGCTGGCTGCTGCCGCTGCTGCGGCTGCTGTTGCTGCTGCTGCTGCCGCTGCTTCTGCCACACCCACTGCTGGTGCTACTGCGCTTGCGGCTGCTCCTGCCGCATTCACTGCTGCTGCAGCTGCTGCTGCTGACGTTTCCACAACTAGTGCTGCTGCTCCTGCGGTTGCCTCAGGTGCAGCCGCTGCTGCTATTGCCATTATTTCTGCTTCTGCCCCTGCTGATGCTGCTACTTAATTCTTCTGACTCCTATTAGGCTGCGTCTGTAGGAACTGACGCGGCTGCTGCTGTTGCTGCGTCTACAGGATGCAGGAGGTTCGGGAGGTGTTGAGCATCCAGTTTGCTGACGTCTCTAAAGAGACTAAAGGGTCATTTGCTGCTCGTTCTTACGATTGCTTTGAGCTCTTTTGCTCCGGCAGGCGCAACTGCCTATTCATGGAGGTTACACTCAATGTGCGTTGCTGCTGCTGCCGCTGCAATTGCTACTGTTGCCGCAGCTTCATTGCGGGGTCGACCTGTGCAGCGCGTGCAGCACTTGCTGCTGCGGAGAGATTGCTCTTTCTGTTGCGCTCTTGCTGCTGCTTTGGCGTGTACCTTTTGCCCGCTTTTTTAGCGAAAGCTTCATTAAAAGTGATGGGTCTGGCACGGTCTTTATGTCTTACATGGCGCCCCAATCGTTGTTGCTGTTGCTGCTGCAGTGTGTGCCGCGCCAGGATTTGTGGCGGGGTTGGCTCCTTAATGGGCTTGTTGGCCGGGAAAACGACGAGATCACGCTGGAATGTTTACTGCCGAATGGAGGGGAGGGAATGATTGTTGGCTTTTGCAAAAAGGAAGACCAAAGGAGCTTCCTCGAGGCACACTGGGACGTTGTCAGTTGCTCTCTTGCTGTTACTGCTGCCGGCTCTGGCTGCAGTAACAGTGCTATTGCTGCTCTCATGGGCGTCCTTCGCTGCAGCGCCTGTTGCGTGCCCTCAGCAGCAGCTACTGCAGTTCGACACAAGTTACTGGTGCTGCAGTGGCAAAGTCTCCATGCAGCGCAGCTGCTGTGCTAGTTCTCTCGATTACATTTTTGAATTTTTGCGCTGCCTGGGGCTGCTGCTAATGCAGACGGAGTTTTGCAAGGTTCGCTTGGCAAGCCACATGAGCGCTCTAATACCCGAGGGGTTTTCGCTTGTGTCCGACACATTGGAGGCAGCAGAGAAGCTTTTCGATTTTTCAGGAGCATCGAAACTGATGCAGCAACTGGGCCCCCGGCTCAAGTGCCTGTACACTTCAGACCTATGTACCAACACCAACCCTGCGCTCACCGCCACAATCGCCGCCATCTGCGGCACTGCTGCTGCTGGAGCAAAGAAGCCGTGAGCAGCTTTACAAGAGTAACTACCTCTTATGCTGCTACTGATGTAGATTTCAGGTTGTGGATCTGTGTCTGGCTTTTAAAGTGCCTTCAAAGGAGGCAGCAACTATAATTTCATGCACGCTGGCGGCGCCTCTGCTGCTACTGATGCGCTAATGGTAGGAAGCGTGTTCTTCGAATGAGCTACTACTTAGAGGACGGCGACTCAGAGTTCGATCAAAGGTATGCATCGTATTGCAGCATTGGCAGCAGCAACGGCAGTAGCGATGGCAGCACGCTAAGTGATGCTTCAGCGTTTTACACAGCTGTAGTAGCTGGAGCCAGTGCATGAAGACCAACAATAGAGGCAACACGAACGTATTTTCTGCACTTTTTGTGCCTTTTTGCAGTTTGGCTGTGCATCACTTCCTCCATTAACCTGCTTTCACTTCAACAGTAGTATCAGTTGCTTTGAAATTTTGCACTTACTATCTACATCATTTATCTGTTTGTGTGTATTCAGATTACCCGTGGTATTAGCGTGCAAGCTGGTAGACATGCTGGCGACGATTCGCCTGAGTGACGCTGTAAGCTGGGCTGCGATCGGGTATACATACGGCGCGACCCCATTGAAATTCTGTTCTTGATTGACCTCCCTGACCTCTTGAGGAGAGATCCTGCCAGTTCGTGCATCCGCCCTTACAACATCTATAGCAGCAGCAGCAGCTGCTGCAGAAGCAGCATGAGTTTGTGGACTGTGTGTTTGGGACGGCCACAGAACCGCGAGGCGGTCCGGCGCATGCGTCTTTCCTATGAAAAGGAGCAGCACAAGAATCGCAGGAAGGAGCAGGAAGAGGTAATTGGCAGAAGACACAAATAATCTTTAATTTATACTTGGAGGATGGAGTGAAGAACATATAGAGGCAGTGATGCAACACAGCAGACAGCAGACACTTCGTGAAATAGATGAGAGCATATGAAATCAGATGGAATAAGACAGACAGAGGAACATTGACACACAACGAAAAGAAGATAAGAGAAGCAAAGTGCGCAAAAGTCATGCAGAGGAAGATGTGGGCAAAGTGATTGACAGAATAGTAGACAGGCAAGCAGTGATGAATGAAGACATAGGCAAACAAAGATGACCACCGAAACGGGCTCATTAGGGGCGTCTTGAAGCTCTCCTGTAGGCCCTCATGAAACTTAAGAGTGCTTGCTCGTATTTAACTTGCCCCTCATGTTGACTGTAATGAATCTTTGCTTGATGCATGCAAGCGTGCTAAAATAGATGAATGCATGCAGGAAGCGGAGAGACGGCGGCAAGATAAAAAGAAAGAACAACAAAAAGCACTGGAGCGGCTTCCCCCTGAAGAAAGAAAGAAGGCTGAAGAGGCCCAAGAGGCGCGCGAGAGGAAGAAGAGCCAAAGGCAAGGAGTGAAAGTGAGAGAGCAATTTCATGAAGAAACGGCTAGTCAAGAGAGCGCCTGAAAAGATTATACGCCTTAACATGCACACGTCATGCAGTTTGGTCGGCTTATAACAACTGTACATGGCGTGGCGAAAATAAGCGTCGGCATATTACGCGCGTCTTGCAGGGATATAGGTCAAGATAAGTACATTCTTATTTATGGGCTCGGTCTATGCGTGTATGTAGCTCCGTAGATCCCACACTGGTGTTTAATCATCCGTTTTTCTTACCTTGGAGCATGATTGCCTTATTCCTCTCGTTTTTTGGTCTGCGGCCAGATGATTCGTATGTGAAAGGAATGTGGAGGGGCAGAGAGCAGAGGACCTCAGGGGAGGCTTAGTGTGTATGTGGATCTCTTCACCCAGACAATAAAATATTGTATAAGGGTACAAGAGAAGAACAAAGAAAGCATGAAACACACAAATCATTAAAAATCCGAGAAAACAAGCCAGGCAAACTGGCAGAAGCAGAAGGAAAAGATTTGCGATGCAGCTCTTTATTCTTCCACCTTCGTTTTTTAGTGCTGCGCGCATGCAGAGAGGCGCTGCATGCACAATGCAAGAGCTGTTGGGGATATCCTGCTTCTCTGCTCAGTCCCAGGTGTTCCGTCGCCTTTTAGGAGCTAGAAGGCTGTAGAAGGGCCCCTGAGGGCTTTGGGGCTTTCTGGCAGCGACATTCGAGGGTCACCTGTCAGACTACTGGAGGCGACCTCCGCTCTCCTGTCTTTAATGTGCACTAACAACAGTTCCTATTTGTTTATTGTCTCTTATGTTTCGCACCCGTTAGTCGCAACAACATTTTATAATGTAATACTCATATGTGCGCTGCTTTGCACAAACCTTGCTGCACTAACGGCTGCTTTGGAAGTTCAAGTTGAACGCATACTATATCAGGGAGCAGAACTGAGTAAACCGAATATTAAGCAGCAAGTCAGAGAGCTAGCAGAAATGTCGCAGCGGTGGGAAATGGACCGGATTGGCTTGAACAAGCCAAAGGACGTCACGCGCTGCTGCCGCCGGCTCAGAGTGTGACTGCATTACGCACTCTCTCCGGACTCACATCGATACACCCCGTCTAAGGCCCTTGAGAGCCCTAAGATGTCTCATAAGGCCCCAATATTGGAGTTTAGGGGTGCCCAGTTGCCCCTTAGAGGTTGGTTCTTTCTTGTTTGTGGGCCCGAAGAGGCCATTTATATTAGAAGCCTTCTAGGCTTCTTTGGGAGTGCAGTGAGGGGCCGTCCCTGAGCTACCGAGCAATAATAGGTGGTGAGGCATTTAGCCTTCAGTCGTGCTCTGTGGTGCTTACTTTTGGTTGTTCAAGAACAGTCTCTCTATGCGGGCAAATGTCTGCAGAAAAAAGAAACACATGAGGGCGTATGAGAGAAAGAGAAATGAGGGAAAGGGGAAAGAAGTAGCAACGACACTAGCAGCAAAAGCAACGGCAGTAGAGGCGGCAGGTGCAGCAGCAGTTCTATCAGTGAAACCAAATGCAAATGCAGCAGGACAAGCAACAGCAGCCACTTCTGCTGGATCAATTGTAAAAGCAGAAGACCGCGTAACGGTAGGAGAATTAGCGTGACGGTAAACAGCAGGAGAAAGAACAGCAGCACGTTTCTGTCACCTGTGCCGTTTGGTTTTGTATTTTTTCCTTAATCAGAAAAAGAATAGAAGCGGCCAAAATCGTCTTCAGAAGCTGCAACCCGAGCCCTCTGTAAAGCCCCCCAAAGCCTTCTTGCATTAAAGCGGATACCAATACAGCCACGACGCCACCCTCAGCCTCCTGTACCACCAAAGCCGCAGCAGCAAGAATAAAACCGTTGTCACCAATGAATAGGGCAGCAAGAGAAGTGGTAGCACCTACAACGGCAGAAGCAGCAGCAGCAGCAACGAGACACAATTCACTACCCCGCGTTGGAAGGTTCGCTAATAGCAGCAGCTGAATCTATAAGCCATCATGGGAAGCTCTTCAGAGAAGAGCTTCCCACAAATGACCCAGTAAACCTGTGGTTTACTGGGTCATTTGTGTCAGCTAACCTCGTCTAGAAGGTGGGGTATGTCTCTTGTCTTTGGATTTCTTCGATAAGCGGAATGGGGCGGGGACCCTTCTTCTGAGCTGCCGCAAATGCAGAGGCCCCCAGCCTGGGATGTAGGTATGTGCAAACAACAATAATAATAATAGACAATGAAAAGGGTACACATATACTGCCCGATGAATAGCAGTAAGCAGCGTTTTTGGGAAGCAGTGATTAACACGTTTGCACTGAGCATTCATACTAGTGCATTCGTGTATAGATATACGTATCACCCGTACTTATTAGCATACAAATTGTATTTTCTACAATATTTCAAGGCGGACAGCGATGAATGAGGAGGCAATGCAAAGCGCAAACCCTCACCTCACTGCACTCCGAGAGACAGAAAGACGCCGGTTTTCGCATAGTCTGTGGTAAACAAGCGAACCACAATAGTGGCAGTACGAGCTCGCGAAGAGACCGGCCACGACAGATAGGGACACAAACACATGCAGGCGGGTTTAGAAAAGTGCACGAATTGTCGCAAAGAAGCAGACGAGGAAAAAGGAATGCACAAAGACACTCAAAAATGAACACGACACAAAGAACAACACGCTCGCAAGTGCTAAAGAAAAAAGGCAAACCTACGTAGAAGCATTGTGGAGGATGCCGAGTCGAATACATGCAAAATACGCACAAACATGAAGCAAAGAGAGGCTGCCAAGGGATGCACTCTTGCTGTACTTGAATGAACTTTTTCTGCATGCACTCAAAATGAAGGCTAGCATAAGACTGGTTTCTAACAACATGTTTTGAACTGTCGCTCCTCAATCGAGGCCCAAAACGTAACCTATAAACCCTGAACCCTAGTACCCACATCGTCGCAGAGGCACGCAGAGGCAGGAACAGAAGCAATCAGTTGCGCCTCAATTTCCTTGTCCAGTGCGGACTGCACAGATACCGCCCGTGGCACTGTGGCGTGCTGTTGTTGCTGCAGTTGCAGCTGCGGCTCCATAGAGCCTTTTCTTTGTATCTCGTTGATGCTTGAGGGGCTTTCCTGCTGAGGCTCAAGTGGAAGGTCCCCCTTGCGGCCTGGGGCAGCAGGAACATCTGTGTCTCCAGAAACCAATGCACGTCTGGAAACAGCAGCACGATTTGCAGTGGCAGAATCTGTAGAAGCAACAGCACTACTAGCAACAGGAATAGGGATACCCGGAGATAGTGAAGAAATTAGCGCAACATGAAAAGAACAAACTACAGAGATGCGCTGAGTCCCAGTATAATTCCACATGCAGCAGCTTCAGCCACGGCAGTGTAGCGACAATGACACCAACAGCAGCAACAAAAGCGGCGCGAACAAAAATGAAGAAGCACTTGTGTGTGTCTCTCGTACTGCTGTTGCTGCGAGCCGTTGAAGTTGTCATGGAGGCTAGCAGAACGTTCCAGCAGGCGGGCTTGAAGTAGCACCTGAAGATAAACTTTAAAACTACTTGCATCCTGGACTTTTGAGGAAACGAAAACACAGGCTATATCATAAGTCAAGGAATATGAATACAAGAAACTGAGACATTGGAAAAAGCCACAGCAAGAGCCCCGGCAGGAATGTCATCAAGTGGCGTAAACGGCGTAACACAAAAGAAGCATGCGTGCACCCAAGCGCCTTCAATGCTCATCACTTAACGTTTAGTTTTCGCCACAAACATGGAGTATTCAAAGAAACTCAGTTGGAATTTCCAGATTTGCAGGCGCCGCTTCTCATCAAGGTTTTGGGGGTTAAGTTTTTTATTTAAACGTTCAGAAATTCTGGTTCAGAAATTGGCCTTCGGCAACAGTGTTCACGGTTCCAGAAGTGGTGCAGTTCAGGGTTAAAACTTAGTACTTTGGCTCGGATGTAGGGGTACGTGGCGATCGTTGCAAATGCTTTGGAAACAGCACCCAAGAGGAAGCTCTGGACGCCAGTCAGAGGCGGTAGTGTTTGCTGTGCAGGATTTCACAGGAAAGCAAATGGCGCAATTGCTCACCCTAAACCCTGCATTACAACCCACCGTTTCCGTTGTTTGTGTAGCTGCATGGACAGCAGTACTAGCGTCCGCTCCAGTAAGAGAAGCAACAACAATGGCATGAATGACATCAGCAACGACATAATTGGCAGAACCATAAATGGGGATGGCAAAAGAGCAAATACGAGCAGCAGCAGCAGTAGCAACAACGTTGCCACTTCACGTGCATTCACGCATCTTCAGCAGACATTGTGCCTCTGCCCCTAATGCTTTGGTACACATTCGCTGCACGGCAGTAAGTGGCCGTTTGCTATCAGAGTCTGCCAAATTAAGAGCCTGGCGACCAGCATTGAGGGCTAAAGACCGACAATGACGTTTTTAGGGTGTGTGTCTTATAGCGTAGAGTTCATGCGTACCCCTATCCGTTCAACTGGAATATCTTCGTCTGTAATTGGATCCATGACACTCCTTGCCCGCAGGAGATTGACCATTTGGAGCCAGAGCCTGCAGTGCAGCAGCAGCAACAAGAAAAAGAGCAAGCGCAGCAGCAACACAGGCAGTAGCAGTCTTTGCAACCAAAACAATAGCACTAGACCTTACAGTGCACCCTTTTCCAAATTCCAGGCGTTGTACTGCTAGACGGTGCGCATTTGACTGTAGCCGACGCTAGAAATTCTGCTCCTCTTGCCAGAAGGTGTTGCTGCAATCGTTGATGCTTCTTGTGGTGTTGTTGTAATTGCCGTTGCTGCTCTCTGTGCTTACTTGAGGCTGTCGAAGGTAGCATTTGTGATCGCAGGATTTAAACACAGGCAGAGGGATGCCCCGAAGCCTCGGTAGAAACCAAAAGGCCCTGCGGCAACACAGCAGCAGTGCCACCAACAATAGAAAAGGTAGCAGCCACAGCTTAACGCCAGTTGGAGCAAAAGCCGCTATAAGGCCAGAGGGGGCAGATGGAAATGCAGAATCTGCAGTATAAAAGCAGCGATAACGGTACTTGCATCAGTACAACCGTTCTGAGTGAAGGCAACCGCTGCACCACGAGTTAGAAGCAGCACTATCAACACTACTTTCACCACGATCTCCAGCAACCGAAACAGCAAAATCTTTCGCAGCGTATCCTGTACCAGGAGCATCTATGCAGCAGCAACGGCATTTATGTTGGAGCCGAACCTTCCGTTTTCAGAATTCGCATGAAAATAGTACGCAGTGGCTGCCGACAAAGCTGGGCATGTGTGCTGCTGACATCCAAAGGAGCCGTCAGAAGCTGGGTCCCCAAAGCAGCAAAGACAGCCAGCAACAAAGTACCACCTCTGATGCGGAGACCCCCAGCCTTCGCCGCACGGCTCTTCAAGGCTTGGTACCTGACATTCACATGAAGGTGAAACCGATACGTAAATATAAATGTGAGCATTCACAAACACAAATAGTTACACTTTTTTATAGTTAAGTCTTGCTAAAGACTATCACAGTTGATATTATCGAAAAAATGATCCACGGTTATGCAATTTTGCGTATTCTGTCGGATGCATGCACGTCAGTAGATACCGACACATACATACAGAACTAAACATACCGAGGCTACGGCACAGGCAGCTTAGTATGTAGAGCTTCACGCACACAGGCAGCGTGGAAATAAACATGAGAAGAGCCGAATAAAACTAATTGTGTTCGTATCAACACTCATTTATACTGCCAAAAAGATGCACGCACTTTTCTTTTCCTCGCAGCTATAATAAGTATGTTCATGTGTTCACATGCTTTCTGAATTTTGTGCATCTGCCTGGTATCCACTATAGGCACACGGAATTCATACCAGACGGTATACCCACACGCACATGGGTGTTCGTATTTGAATGAAAGTTGCTAACGCAGGCAAACTGGGCTCTAACAGCTCTGCAGAATGAGAGAATCGTTTTTCTAATATCAATATATCTCCACACCTACAGTACATGCCGTGCCTTCTTTTGGTATCCAGGCTCACACAGATTTTTCAGTTCAGCCACAATTTTCATCGTGTTAGGGGGTAAATTGCAGCCCATATGCATCAAACCCTATGCTTTAAGGTTTTAGCTCCAGCTTACAAATAGAAATAGACAAAGTTTCTAATTATTTGCTCGGCCAGCTTAATGCCCAGACCACTGTATAGGCGGCTTATCCGGTTAATAAGTTGTCCCGCTTTGTCTTTGGTGGTGCTGCCGCTGTTGCTACTGTTGCTGCTGTTGCTGCTCTTGTTGCTGTAAGTAGAAGCGTAAGTGGTAGGGGTGGCTGTTGCTGCATCCTCCTGCTGCAACAGCTCCTGCAAGACGTCAATGAGGGCCTGCAATGCGCTGCGGTGCTGGTGCTGCTGCTGCTGTAGCAGCTTGGCTGGCTGCTTAGTTGCTGCTGCCTGGTGATGTACTAGCAGCGTGTCTAACGGAAAAACAATAAGGGTGGATACGCACGCAGCCACTGCGCCGCTCGTTGCAGCCACAAGAGATTTACTCATGGTGGCACACGATGGAGAACCTTTGCTGGCTTTGCTTCTGTTGTTGCTGCTTCTGCTGCAGCTGCCGCTACTGCAGCAGCGGTAATCAATGTTTCTGTTTCTGTATTATTTCAACTGCAACATGAACCGCAGCGCTTGGGCAGCAGCTGCTGCTGCTGCTGTTGCTGCTGTTGTCTTCGCTGCCGCGGTTGCTGCTATCGCAGCTGTTGCTGCCGTTGCACTGAGTTTTATTTGTACTGCGAATGCTGATGCAGCTTCCCCTACAGCTTTTGCTGCTGCTCCGGATTATGCTAGCTAAGCAACCACCGCCAGTGCCGTTGCTGTATGCATGCCCTTTACTTCTGCTGTCGCTGCCGCTGTTGGTTTTCTGCGTGCAGCAAGAATTACGCAGTACCCTGCAGCCCAAATCCACAGGGACACAAAGAGCACCGTAGAGAGCAGAAAACACAGAATAGCAGTGTCAGGGAGCAGTTGTGCTGGGCGCTCAGGAGTAAATGAGTGCGTATTGCTACAATGTGTTTCTCCACTTTCTCGAAAGCATTCTGAAGGAGACTGGCACTTTTTCCCCTTTGTCAAATCACCGCCTCCGAGCAACGTCTTCGGCGTTGCAGTTCGTGTGATTGGCGAAGCGCGATCTGCGTGCGTTGTAAGCTCACTTGCTCTGTTTGCAGAGGAAACCTGCTTCATCTGCGGAAATGGCACGCCTGTAGCTGCGAGCATCAGCTCTTCACACCTCCATGTTCGCGTGCTGGTGTGCATATGGTCACGTCCTGGTAAGTTCACGAGTATGTATAAGGGGGTAAGTGTTTTAGTAAACAGAAGGGAAAATCCCAAGTTTGCTTGTAGCCTCCTGTCTTGCGTGTGGGGGCCCTAGCTTGGCCACTCCGGCAGCTAAAAAGAGGCATAGGAGGCAGACAGCTCTGAGGTGACAAGGTTTTCAACAAGAAGAGAACAAAACTGCTGCTGCGTGGGCCGAAGTTGCTGCTGTATCTCTTCTGCTCAGGCCGCTGCAGCACGGCGTGCTCCAACAGAAAAGACGGTGAAAAGCCGTTGAAATAAGTGAATTTCCCCTTAAATCAAAATTTATTCTCATTTAAAAACTTTGTTTTTCCTTATAAATGAGTTTTCTGAATTTTCGAGCTTTCTGGGGAAAATTTTGCACAGGTCCTCGCTTGCCAGCAGCCAGATGGTGGTCACTGGACAGCCCATTGCTCCCCTTGAAAGTTAGAGGCCCTGTAAGCAGTACGAGCCACTTAAGAGTATAAGACAACCTAAATTGGCAGCTACTCTGTCGGACTCATATCTTTTTACTTGACGATTATTTTTTTGTGGTTCTGTACGGAGGCCCGAGGAACAGAGCTCGAGCAGTCACCACTGCACATCCCAATGAGTTTATTTCCGCGTGCGATCATTGTGACACCTAAAGCGAATAAGAGATCAAGAGAAACAGCCCAAAATTCATAACTGCAACTTTCAGTCTGCTGCTATGGAAATGAAACGAACACAGAAAATTATCGTCCAGGCACTCGGCCACGCATATCCTTCTGCGCCGCACACTGCGCGCCATGTGCTAAGGGTCCGCTTTCTCGAGATCCTCAAGTAGTTTCACAGTAAACAGGATATTTGAGCCACGGTACAACTCTGCAGCGACGCGCCTCTCTGTTTCTCTCCCCAGCAAAGGGCTAATGACACTCTGAAGTTACACACACTTTCGCAGCTTCCTACGCTGCAGAGTCACTTTTGTTGGCTAGAGCTAGGCAGTCTGTAGGTCTCCTGTGAGGTCGCCGAAGAGCTGAGCAGCGAGGCTCGTAGGTGAAGTGAGACATGTGCTGCCAACCAAGAAGGGTCCCATCTGGGAGCTGCTTTGAGCGTAACTTGGTACGTCACTGTTGGCCCCTACTTGATAATTCCCATGCGCGGCATTTAGAGCTGTGAATGCCTGCAGCTCTTTGGGTGCGAGCCCTCCCAAGACGAAGGTAACAACAGAGCGACTTGGGACTCCTTTCGGGGTCTCCTTTTGCCTCCAAGAGGCTCCTGCTCGCTCCTTCGCTGCGACCCACAAAAAGTTGACCGTGCTGTAAGCAGAACACAACAGGATCATAGAACCAAAAAATGCTAAGTAAAAAAGGAAATTAACCTGTTTAGTCAGAGGTTGCTTGTGCAAGCCCGGAAAGCAATCGGCAGTTCACTGTACATGCATCGGGAAAAATTGGAAATGTAGCTGTACAAGATTATGGCATACCACGTGCTAATTCACTCCAGTATGCTTTATACCATTTGGCGTCTTCCTATGTCATGCGACAGTTTATGTTTGTCTCATTACGACATGGTTCGCGCAACTGAATTACACTATACTGTTTTGCGCCCAACGAAGTTAGTTTATGTCGTGCTACGTTCACAATCCTATTTGCGCTGCACTAGACTAGCGCTATTCGGCTTCTGAAGTTGAGAGTCATACCACAATGCTGAGTCAAACTACAACTGCGGCGCACCATATTACACCATGTTTACAACAACTTTAAATTTCTAGATTGAGATCAGTGGCGAGTCCAGTTTGCTCACCTCAAGCCTTTCTTTATGAAATCTTCGAGAAGAGGTCCCTGCGCTGGAGGCGCCTCTGCAAAAGAAGAAGCATCGTCACTTCCTCCCAGTGAACGCGCCAAAGACAACAGCCAGCAGTTCCCCTGGGGGCCGTGAGAGTTCCCTTGGAGGCCATCACGGCTCGCTGGCATGCCTTCGAAGGCCCCTTGTCCGTCCCCAGAGGATCCCCCAAGATATCCAAAGGATCCATGAGGCTTGTGGAAAGGCCCTCGTGAGAGTATAGCAGCGTTGCAGCGTTCAGAATCAAGAGAAGGAAGTACCGGCAGCATGCTAAACGCCAAAGCAGAAGAAGGATGCAAGAATAACCTTGCAGTTGCAAAGGAACCTCAGAAAACAGGAAAAAGCAGGTAGGTTGTATAGATAGGCGCCCTTACCGACTATTTGTGAGAGACGAGCGCGACTGTTGAATGCACCAAAGCCGGTGAGCGATGGCCTTCGCTTTGCTGCTACTGCCCTTGCTGCTGGCGTTGTTGTTCATGATATTTCTAGAGAGGCTACTATTTAATGCTTCTCTCAGTAGGCACTCCCAGCATTTGCAGGAGCTCGCGTTGTTGCTGCTGCTACTGCTCTCGCCATTGCTGCGGCTGTGTTGCTGGCAGCAGGAAGACACCAGCGGAGCGTCAGGGCCCTACAAGAAAGACGGCAGAATCTCCATGTAGGTTTGACGAAGATTCAGGTAGAGCTAGCGGCCTTTGAAATCTCTTTATCGTTCAACACGGCGGACAAACAAAAGAAGACATGCAGTACTCACACTAGACAAAGGAATGCAAAGTCATGAAAAGAAAGACAAAGCATGAGGCGAAAAAGGAAATCAGGGAAAAGAAGAATCGTGCAGAGGGACAGAAAACGGAAGAGACACGGGTAAGGATATGAGGAAAGACGAATACGAAGAAAATGAAGAAACTTACGGCCTGTGACGCTCGCGCTGCAGCGATGAGGAGGGACGCATTCAGAGACTCGAGAGGAACTGCAAAAAAAAAATTACACGTAGGGCAAAAACCTAATCAACATAGGGCTAAACAAGAAGACGCCAGCTATAAAGGAAAAGGTGCATGCGTCTGCCTGGTTTCTCTTGCATGCGTATGCATGCAAAAGTACGCAAGCAGCCCCATGGAAGGCACAGGCATATCAAACATAAGGCAACGTCCAAACTGAGAATAGTAACACTGAAAGCCGAATAAGTAGGGAACAGTCTTAGGAGGTGTATATAGAGACAGAAACGAGACATACCGGAGCCTGAAGAAGCCCGCTTTATTGCTCTCTGAAGCTGCGGACAGCAGCGACAAACAAACACACAGATAAAATGTAGAAAACAGGATGAACAAAAAGACGAGAAGTGCAGAGGATAAGCATATAAAAAAGGAAAAAATTTGCTTAGCAACGGCACTGGGGAGAAACAAATGCACACTGCAAAGCGCGAGAGACGAAACAAGGCAGAAAACACGGAGGTAAAAGATTATACGAAGCGACAGGCAGATGCAGGACGGAAAACCAGGGCACAAGGCAAGGCCCGTGCAGCGCAATATGGAGCGACGGAAAGATATATGGAGCATAAGACAAAGTTACACGGAGGGACATCGAGGGACAGCAGGGCGCACAGATTCGGCTTACATTGGTCAAGGTATCGCCAGCAAGTAAAGAAGGAAGAAGCAAATGTTCGACAAACTCCAGTAGCGGCCACAAAGATACACGATGCTGCAGCAGAGGCAGCAACAATCACAGAAACAGCAGCACAGCAAGCAGCAGTGACAATGGCAGGTGTGGTGCGGAAGCTCATCTACAGGAAAGTGGTGACACGGGGCAGCAGCAACACGAACAAGAACGACGCTGTTGCGCCAACGGCGGCAGTAACTGAAAAACACCTGAAGAGCCAACATGCTATTCCCCCATTTGATGTCAGTGTCTCGTGTCTGCTGGAGCAACTGCAGAAGCCGCAGCAGCGTCGCATTCCTACACTGCTGGGCGCTGCTGCCTTCCTGCAGCAGCCAGCGCAAATCACTTTGTCTGCGGGTGAGCAGCGCCAAAAAGAGGCGAAGCAAGAAAAGAAAAAAAGGGGGCAAGCAGAAAACAAGCGACTGAAACGCAAAAAGACATGCATTTAGCAAGAACATAAAAACGGACGAGCGGCGGACAGATAGACGGAGGAAAAAGCAAGCGGAAAAACGTAGGGGAAGTCGCAGAACAGGCACGTAAAGAATGAGTAAGTGCACAGGCGCTCGAAAGCGCCAGTGCATTTGCTAGTTTTACTGTAGGAACCAAAAACGAAAACAGACAGATGGACAAAGGAACCAGTGGAAGAATTCCGGAGTTGGCTAGGAGTGGAAGCAAGGAAAACAACAAACAGAAAAAGACACAGGATAATGGTCAGAAGAAACACGCATGAGACATACACAATCACAGTCGATTACCTCCAGCTTGGGATAATCTTCTCCATTTTGGTCAATGTAAAAGGCCGCTGAAAGGGCCCCCATGAGATGACGCCAAGCGACAGCATCATGTGGAGCAGCAGCAACGGCAGAGGTAACTAGACTGAACAAACAGCAGGCAGCACTTGGTTGTTCCGAAGTCCTAGAGGTTATGACGAACAAACCCTAGGGTGCAGAAAAGGGTCTAGGGTGTAGAACAGCACCTACGCCTGCCATGCAGGCTCGGGACCGTGGAGAAGCTGCAAAAGTGCTCCACCCTCGATGTATCCTGCAGCGCGAGCCTCCATTTCTTGTTGCTGCTGTTGTTTTCGATTGAGCCTATTCTTTTGCCGCGTTTCGGTGGTGTCTAGACACGAATCGAGATTGGGTGATGATCCGCAATTCAACAAACGCCGGATCAAGGAAAAATCCGAGAAAACCTGACAAACCAACGCATTGAGGCCTAGATCAAGTGTTGGAGCAGCTACTGCTGCTGTACGTGCAGCTGATAATATTGGTGTTGCTGCTGCTGCTGCTTGCTCTGCCGGTGCTTGGTTCTACCTTGCTGTTGGTGAATCTGCTAGGCGCTGCTGGTGTTCCTCGGCTAGTGGTGGTGGTACTGCAAACGGCGCTGTCGTTCCCGCTATTACTGTTCTTGTAAATTTTTGAAGAGCCCCTTTGAGTTACAGTACGGTCTGAGGGGGTCCCAAGTTACTGTGTACGGCCGTCTCACGCCTGTGGAGTCAATGAGCTGACTTGGGACAGCAGAGGGGTCAACTAGCTGCGGTTGCTGTGGCTGCTCTTGTCGTTGCTTGTGCTGCTGCAGCACCTTAAGCTGCTGTAGAGTCCATTCACCCCCATCCGATGGAGCTGAAGGTGATAGGAGGCTGCCAGGGGCCAAAGGGGACTGCAGGTCCTGTAGCTGCAGAGATCGGAGGCAACGGCAAGTTCGGCAGCAGCAGCAGTAGTAGCTGGTCTAGCATAACGTCCAAGCGCCGTAAAAAGGTGACTCAAAAGCCATTCTGCTGTTGTTGGTGTTGCTTTGAAAGCTGCCACTCCTGCTGCTACGGCAGATGTGTCATACCCTGTCCACAATTAGCAGCAACACCTCCCTCTCTCGCTGTTCACCAGCAGCAGCAGCCGCAGCAATCGATGCCCCCTTTGGCTTCGGAGGAATCCTTTCGGCCACAGCACGCCCCAATAGCCGCGCAGCCGCGCCGCAGCAGTGGACAGCAGCAGCAGAGCAACCCCATGCAGAGCAACACTCTGCTAGTCGGCTGGCCAACCGGCTGTAGGCTTCCTTCACGCAGCAGATAACAGCAGCATCGAGAGCACCAATCTAAAAGCAGAAGCACTTTCAATGACGCGGCAGAAGGAGCAAAGGCTGCAACAGCAGCAGGGGCAAAAGTGCGGCAGCGTTCACTGCGGCAGCGATACCAGGAAGATAAGCAGCGACTGTAAAGACTTACTCTGTGCCGCAGGGGGAGGCTAGCGAGGGAAATGTCATCCAGCTGTACGTCCCCGTCTAGACCTGCGGTTGCTGCTGCAGCTGTAGGCTGACGCTGCAGCAGGCTTTCTTCTGCTGCTGCTTCTGAAAGCAGGCGCCGCACTGAATCGGGGCATATTATGGGGACATCAGATGATTCTGCGAGTGAAAGTAGCATCAGGAACAGCAGCCACAACAGTTAGAATGCAGCTGTTGCACCAGTTCTCTAAATGGCGCCCCATATCAGTTGCCTACTGCTGCATGCTGCTGTGAGTTTTCTGCAGAAGCCTTTGCGCGCCTGAGGCCACTAGGTGGTGCGAGAATGTCCTCCTTTTTATCGTCAAATTTTATCTATATTTTCCTCGTTCACTTTTGCTTCTCCCTTTATGCTGCCTGTCAGTTCTTTGCTGTCTGTCTTTGTCTGTTCATCTTTGTCTATCATCCTCCTTTGCACACCAGTCAGCAGGAAGCATCCCTGAGTGAGAAACGTTGCATGAAATGGGGTGTGCAGCACCTCCACTTCGAGTGGCCCCTGCCACTTGGGAGCCCCAGATGGCCCATCTGACGTTGGCTGCAGCCCCTCTCGTTGCCTGCGCAAAGTTGCAGCCAAACGCTGGACAGGCATTCCAGCTTGCTGCTGCATGCAACAGGCGTGCCAACGATGCTGCTCCTCCTGAAACGACAGAAAGGCCCAGTTGAAGCACAAAATCAGGAAAAATGTCGGCAAATATTTGCACAAATACTTGAAGATCATGGACGAGTTGGCCAGTAAAAACTGTCACACGAAATTATGCAGCCAAGCCAGTGCAGCATCACATTAGAGATCCGGAGACCAAGTAGGATTCCCCATGGATCTGCCACAACCGCAGCTTCACAAAAGCAGCTACAGAAAAGCTTGCTCAGGCGTTAAGGGCCCCTAGAGGACCCTGCAATCTTTTAATGACCACTAAAGCACATTTTTACTTCGGGGCCTCGCATGGCCACATGTTACTGCATGTGGCCCTGTGAGGCCCCGAAGTTAAAATGTGGTATTTGGTGTTTGGACGGACCGAAAAGAAAGAACAAATTGTCAAGCGGCGGAGAGAAGGCAGCAGACGAACGAAGGAAATCAGGTAAGGCGTCGCCTCCTCGATAAAGGCAGAGACGAAAACACAAGCAGTTTCAGCTTCAGGAAATATTTCCTGGTCCTGCTGCTGCTGCTCCTTCTGGCTTTGCGAATGATCAGCCCTTAGTTGCTTCGTCATCTTTCGCCTTTCAAGATCTTTGAAATCCTCCAGCGCGCAGAGCCGTGGGAGAAGGCCCCATCTCCCGGGGGGTGGCCCTTGTTGCTGCTGCAGTTGTTGCTGTTGCTGCGAGCTCAAGCGGGAGGCGACAGCGCCCCAACTGCCAGCATCTGCAGCTATAATGTCTACAGTTTCGAGCAGAAACGAAGTCTTGCGCACAATCGCTGTGTCCTCAAGGTCCCCCAAGGGACCCCGTGTTCCGGGGCCCCCAGGGACCCTCGTCATGTCTTCGTAGAATGAGAAAGGCCTTAACACAAAAAATAAACTTTGGGTTCTATAGATTCAGGAAGTCCCTCCTGTGGCTGTGTTTTGTCCTTTGTCTACTATTACTGTTTCTTTTGCAGATACCGCTGCTGTTGTTGCTGGTGCCGCTACTGCTGCTCCTGCCGCAGTAACTGTTGCTGGATTCGATGTTGTAAAACTGGCTACTGCAGAAGATTCCACGACGTGTGTTTCCTCTGCCGTTGCGTTCACCGCATGCTATGGTGCTTCGTAGTCTTGCCTTCCCTGCAACAGCAACACCAGCAGTCAGTCAGCTCATGAAGCCTGCAGCTTTACGTTTACACTATGCCCCCTTTAGTTAAATTTTTGAGAGTAGATTCATAAAGTAGGCGAACGAAAGGGAGGCCTAACGTCTGTCCCAACGGTCAGGCGGCTGTCGGCCGTGGGGGCCCTAGCTGGGGCCCGCCAACGGAGACTTAGTCCTGGGTAGACGCTTCAAATGAAATCCTACTTTGAGCTCCGTTGATTTTTTTATTGGAAAGATGATGATTTGATTTTGATTTCATGTTTAAGCTGGCAGAGAGCTGCAGATTTAGGGCTTATTGACCCTGCAGTCCTCGCCTGTGAACAGACAGCATTCACTCTCAGATTGAGGATCTAGAGTTTGCGGTCCACAGCTTAGGATATATGGCTGCTTATGAGACCCCCATATCTTTATCTCTTTTGATTTTTTTGGCTCGCAGTATCCACCTATTTCAGCACGAATCCCACCACGACGGCAGCTTGGCAACTGGGAAGAGGAGCCTCGGTCATTTTTGATGCAGCTACAGCAGCAGCAGCTGCTGCTGCTGAGGCAGCCAGAGCTAAATCATCTCCCAATTTGCAGATCTTTGGACCTATGCTGGATCAGGGGCCGGGAAAGGAAAGTTGAATTTGTTGAAAGAGGGCGCTATCCCCTAAGGAGCTCCCAGCACTCTTCATCCAGCAGCGTTTTGCGTCTCAGACGTAAAGACGTTGTACTGGCATCTTTATTCCTTTTTCTTTTGGCTGCCGCGCTATGCATATTTCTGACCAGGAAGTTAGTACCTAGGACACAATCTCTCCTGCGGCACAAAAGCAGTAGCAGCAAAAATAATGGCACTGACTCCAACAGCAACGGTAGCAGCAACGGCATTGTACACAAGAATATCAACCAGGAGATAGAAAGGAATGCAAGCAGCAGCAGTGGCCAGGGTGACATGGAGGAGGCCGAAGCGTGTGAAGCAGCACGTTCTTTTGTGCTGCATTGGCTCCTGCAGCAGAGTGAGGGGTCCCCTCAGGAGGCCCCCTTAGATTTCGCACCCATTTCATTTCACCTCTCTGGATTCCCTCTGTGTCTGCGAGCTAGACAGGTACTGAATTAATTGAATAATGCGCTTGTTTACAGTTTCGATTGTACACCAATCGGACACCAATCTTCCAATTGCTCACCCACTGTGACTCTTTGTTTATTCATTTGTTTCTTTCGACTGATCCCGCTTCTTTATGTTTAGTTTCAGTGTTTCGTGGGCATCTCTATCACTATTTAAGTAAACTACACTATTCAGTACCGGAGACATACGTTCAAGAATTCACTTGTGAACACAGCGAATATTAAGCATCCTTTTTTCCTTGGTACACCTTTTGATTCTGTCTAGATCAGGTCAGGTATACTATAATGCCCTAGACTGTAGCAGCCAGAAGTACTAGCGGCACTTGCTGCTGCTGCTATCAGTTGCTGCTGCTGCCGCCATAGTTGCTGCTGCTGCGTTTGTAATTGTAAGCTTGGATCATCTTTGTATGGTAGCGTAGTGGGAAAAGTATACATAGACTTCAGTTGATGTGCATGTACACAGACTCTTCAACACGTGTGCCTACGTGCATGTTCCCGTTCTAAAATGAATTTCATGTTTTGTGCATTATACGCATGCTGCCCTTTGTTCCCATTTCCCCAATGCACTGTATGGAATCGAGATGGAAACAAACGGAAAGCTCATGTTCAGATAAGTAACATAGTCAGGATAATCAGGTAGAGTAAGTTGTGTATCATTATTATTAGTTCCAATTTCATGGGTTACTGTAAGCACTTTACACTTAATTCTTTATGGTTTGCGGTAGTTAGAACAGTCCAACTTTGCACTGGCTTTTACCTTCGGCACAGTGTTCATTGTATCCAGTGAAAAGTCTATAGCAAGTGAAAACGGCAGCTGCTGTTGATGCTGCAGTGTTGTTGAGTGCCCAGCCACAGCGAAGGAACGCAGTAGTCGTTGCTGATGCAGTATCCCTTCAGAGCCCCGGCGCCGGCGACTGCCTCTTCGTCTCTGTCGCCGCTGCCTTGTGGCAAGATTCGTTTGGCTACCATCCGTCTTTCTCAGATGAGCACCTCCAAGAAGCCGCGCTAAGCCTCAGACAGGTCAGGCGGCCGGCAGGATCTTCTGCGGGCTACTTTTTGCGGGCCCATCTCTGATGGGAGCCCGGTCGGGAGCTCCTTTACTGCATTTCTGTCTACCTATTCAGTAGTTGAACCATCAGACCTAGAGAGGCATTACAAGAAGTGTAGCACGTGACACAGGCGTATACCACTGCTGCTCCAGGTATTGCTGCCGCTGCTGCTGTTGCGTCTGCGGCGTTGATACAGCTGGCAGTCAATACGTTGGAAGACCCTTCTGTGGAGGAATTTGTAATGGAGGGCGCCGAGAAGGTTGGGCGGGAGGAGCTGTTGCAGCTGGCATCGCTGCAGTACAACTGCTCAGCGCAGGAGTACTGCAGACGCATGCGTATGCAAACCACGTGGGGTGGAGGCCCCGAGATTCTGTCGCTGGCTCACGCCCTCCGCCGCCCAATAGCCGTCTATACACTTCAGACCAGAGGAGCACTGCGGCGAACCAGCCGTCGCGGTGCAGCTACAGACACGCTCCAACAAAGGCAGCAGCAAACCATTCGAGCTCTGCTTCAGCAGCAGCAGCAGGAGCCGCTGCATCAGCAGCTGCACCATGAGGGTCAGCTGCATCTCTGCAAAGTGTTCGGCTGGACGGAAGGCTGCAAAGCGGGGCCTCTGCATCTCCTCTTTACAAACGCACAGGGGCTAAAGGGAAGCCCGCCGGAAGGCGAAGCTAATCACTTTGCCCCGCTGTTCCCCGTTTCCCGCTAACTAAGAGATGCTACACCTTGCTGAGGTGAAGAACCTCATCAAAATACTATAGTGTTTCCGAATCGCAAGTGTGGCTCTGCTGCTGTTGGTATTCTGTCGGCCTGCTGCTGCGGCTGCTGCGACTCTATGTACAGGAGCAAAGCAGACGTGGCAACCAGTAAGCCGTAGCAGTTTTGTCGCCTTTGGACGTCAAAGCTGCGGTCGCTAAATGTACTTACATCTAAGGAACAAATGACCTTTTGTTGGCACCTAAGGATTTTCACGCTTCTCTTTCTTATACAGGGCTTTGAGTACTCCTATGACACTGGACAACGAGCTGAGGCCGAACCAGCACCTAGAGGTTAGTACACACCACATCAAAACCACCGAGGTCAGGGCTGAGGACTCACAAAGCGGGCGCCCTATTTGGGCGACCTAGCTGCAAACCCAAACGATCACACTGCATTGCTGAGCTGGAAAGCAAAGGGTCCCTTGGGTCCCTCAACAGGAGCGGGACCTTTGGATATTCCTTCGGCGCCTCTTCCCTATTCAGACACTTTTACTCTTTTTGCTTTTTTTTGCATCTGTGCGCTTCAGCAGAACAGTTAGTATTCCGCTTGCGTGCATTCTTGTAGAAACAGCTGCTTCACAGGCAGCAAAAATCGGGGGGTCCCAAACCTCTCAGAGCCAGCATTTAGTAGGAGCCTTTGGCACTGCTTGCGGAAGCTCATAGTCACGTAGGATATTTTCAAAAGTGCAAAGAGCTGATGAGGAATATACAGAGCTAGCTTATTTAGTGCGTCCATCTTCCGTATCTTTCTGCGCTGTTTCCAACCACTCTATAAGTCCACTTCAAATTGGCAAGAGCCGAAGCTGCACTCGCTAGACTTCTGCTGCAGACTCCTGTGCCTCCCCTTCGCTTGGCGGCCGCCTGCTGGTGGGCCGTCGTTGCCGTGGCTGGTGGGAAGCCCCACAAGCGGTGTTGGTCTTTCCTGCGGAGTCTCCGAAGCCTCCAGCTTTTTTCCGCTGACGCACTCCTGAAGGTACAAAAGAAAAAGGTTTACTGCGCTTGCAACACATACCTGCAACAAATACAAGGCCCTTATTTGGGCTGAGTCTAAGCTTGAGATTTCTGGCGCCGGTGCTGCTGCTGCTGCAGTCATTGCCGCACTGATGTTACAGGCATCTGCTTCTGCTGCAGCCCCATTTGCCTGGCTTTCCTGCGTCTTTTGCTGCTTCTGAGGCTGCTCCGCTGCCCGCTGAACCCTGTAGGTCCCCTTGGGCACCGTTTTAGTCGCTGGTAGTCTCTTTTTAGCTGCTGCTGTCTCGTGCCACTGTGCTGTGCGTTTCGCCGGCGGCGGCCCCAAGGCTGCAGCAGCAGATGATTCACATGGACGAGGTTGTGGGCCCCAAGGAGGGTTGGCAATATGCTCCGAGGGGCTGATATCCCCTTCCGCATTTTCTAGGTCGCTTGCCAGGTCCTGTAGGGCTTGCATCTGAGCAGCGCTCACTGCATAAGTGTCAGGTGCTTCCCCATAGAAAGCGCTGGGTTGTTGTTGTTGCTGCTGCTGCTGCTGCAGCGAAGGCGGCTGCTCGAGAGAAGAAACTCGCTGAAAGTGCGGCCCACCCGCTGCAGTCAACTGCCCGTAGCTCAGTTGGTGCTGCTGCTGCAGATACTGCTGCGGGTTGCTGTTTCCTCTGCAGCTAGATGCCTCTGAGTATGCTGCTGCCAGATAAAGGCCATGAGGCTGTCTCCACTGAAGAGGATTAGCTGTTGTGCATGCAGCAGGTGATGGGAAGGGAGCACTGCGTGGTGCAGAAGACTGCACGGGGTTCATCGGTTGGTCTGGTGGGGGAGCACAGCAGTGTGATGTGGGCTTTGTTTGCATGCCCTCACCAAAGGTTCCAAAGGGCTGCAGGTGTTGCTGCTGCTGCCACTGCTGTGGGTACAGCCACTGCTGCTGCTGCGGAACTTGCTGCTGCGGGTAGAGTTGGCGCTGCGTGCGCTGGCACTGCTCACGCGCGTGCGCCAGCTGGCGTTTGATGAGCTCCTGAGTCTCCTCTTTAAGTTTTTCCTGTTCAAAAACAAGCTCTGTCCTCGCAGCCTAAAATGCAGGTTTCGCAGTCTGCACACCGAGAACCTCCTTGCGTTGCTCCTTGTTCCAACTTACTTCTTTCAGCTCCTCGCTCGCTTGTTCTTCAGAGTCAGCCTGTGCAAGATGCTGCTCCAGGTTTTTGACCTCCTCCCTGGCCGCAAGAGGAGTGTAAATTGTGCTGTCTTAAGCATCAACAGATTAATTCGATCGTACTGTTTTTTCTGTATTGAGTCCCCCTCTGGCGTGGCCAAGTAGAAGCTACGAGCCAAGTATTGTCATGCATCAGCTCCTGAACAGGCAATTTACAGCAGTCATACTCTGCGGTGTCCTTGAGCCGCTGACGAAGGCCTGCTGCCAGTACGCTCAGCCGCCTGAGGAATATTATTTCAACATGCACAAAAAAGAAATGAGGACTAAAACCCACCTTGAGAAGTTTATCGAAGTTTCTGTCACTCTTTTCTGTGAAGCTCTAACTGTGTCGAGCCCTGTGGCAATAGTCGTTTGAAGCTGTTTTTGAAAGTATGTGAATGATTTCGCAAGATGGCATGCGAGCGACGAAGTGAAGAAGGTAACAGTGAAGCTGAAGAGTGGCATACCTTTCAGGATGGCCGCTTTTTCTCTCGAAGGCTCCAGAATCTTCAAATTGAGCTCCATTTGTTCTGCCTCCTGTGTCATCAAGTGTGCCCGCGCACTAGAATTCCCATGCATGGCCGCTTGCAAGTCGTGTTTCGCCTGCAAACGGAGGAGCTGTTCCTTTAAAAACTGGCCTTTAGAGCATTTCACGCTGTAAAAGTCTCACAGATTCGCATGTTCGCCGAAGATGCGCTATTTTCGCGTTATATACCACCATTTCACCCCGCTTATTTGCATGGATGCGAGATAAGGAATCTCTCGACAAAATGGAAGCCTCCATTCTCTCCATTTGTTTCATTAAGTGGTATCAATGAGAAATGCATAAGTATTTCCGTCTTCGCGTTGTTCCTAGTTCAAAAGCCGCGTTGCTGTACTTTGCTTGCTCGGTACTTGCGCCCTTGTCAGTGCATACACCCTGTGATACACCAAGAACCACACCAGCGAACTGTTCCTAGGTGTGAGGCAATATGCAAGCTTCCACCATTCCAATTGAAGTTCATAGCGAAAGATTGGCAGGCTCTAGGGCTGGTCCCATTTTGCCATTAGCGTGTGGCTTTAGCATATTTGAACACGAAGATGCGTCACACCGTCGCATTGATGAACTAGATGGGAAAAACGCCCCGCTTTCACATCACTAGAAGGTGCTTTTTCACTGGGCGCCTCTATGCCCCATTGTCACACCACTTGATGGGTTTTTTTCTGAACCCCACTATGCCCAGTAAATAGAAAGCTCGCGGGGTGCGACAACGGAATGCCTTTCCCCCTCGGTGCGTTAGCTTCACGGCGTGACGAATATTAGTGGTCTGGTATGTTAAAGCCACGCGCTCACGGCAAAATGCAACCATGCATGCATGCAGCGGCAGTTTTGCACGATGCTCCTTCGAGCTCGGCATTGTTTTCGTCGTGTGGTACGAAGGCGGTGCCGCCAGCGGGGGCCAAGTTGCGCTATATCCCCTCAAGGGAAGTCCCACTGCACTCTCTCCATGAGATTCCTTCGGCGGGATGTAGCGGGAGAGCACCAGAGAAACTGCAAAAGCAGAATTAGCCACCGGAGGCGGAGCCCCGCCGCGCACCGCTGAAACAGCCGCAATAGAGCCTTCATGCAACGCAGCTGCTGCAGTCCATGGATCGCTTCGACTTCAACGCCGTTCACATCCATGCGTTGAAGTCAAATTGCACCTCTAGGCATGAAGCACCTACCGTTGTCTCCTCTGTTGGATCTGACCCAAAATAGCTACCCAGGTAGCTCACAATGTGACTTGAAAGCCACCAAACTAGCTAGCGAGTACGTTCGCAAGCGAGTTGGCTAAGGGGCTCGCAAACAAGCCGGCAGTACAGAGGCTCCAGCGATTTCAACTCGCTCGAATATTTCATGCCTCAGGCCAAAGCCAGCTGGAGAGACAAGCAATTGTCTTAGAGTAGTGTCACAGCTGTGCTATTTCTCAAAAAACAGCGCACAAGCAGCAGCAGCAGCAGCAGCCGAAACAGCGCCTGCCGCTACAGCAAAACGAAACAGGCTCCTCAAGCCTAAAGAAAAAATAATTTCTGCAGGTTTGTCTTTTCAAGCACAAACTGATTGGCGCTAGGACAAACATGCTGCCACCCTGCAGAGGCAACTGCATGAGCTGAACATTGCTGCTGTTAGAGCAGGAAGTTTTGTCCCTCTACGGGGGCCTTTTGGGTCACCGTAGGCTCGCGGCAGCCCTACACTTCTCCTGTACAAAAGTGCTACCTGAGCTTCTGGTGCAGCTAAAGCGGCGAAAGGAGCGGGCAGCCCGTGGGTTCCGCCTCCTCGGAGGGAATCGCAGCCAACTCGGGCTGGTCCTCGTCGCACCACCTGCGGCACACCGAAACGCAGCAATAACCGCGTTTGCTGCTTCAAGTTCTGCCCTTGCACATGCGACTGCTGCTACCTCAGTTGTTGCTGCTGTGGCAATTGCTGCTGCTCTTGCTTCAGCTGCTGCCGCCGTGAATGTAGTTGCTGCTACGTGGGAGGGCATCTACGGGTGCACACTTACCAATCCCGTGTTTCTTCTTGCCGCAGATCCTGCAACAAGCACTCGAGATTCGCGTAGTGTGCCTGCTGCTGCTGCTGCTGCAGGCGTAGTTGCTTCTGCTTGGAGGCTCCTGCCCTGCGGACTGCAGCAGCCGTAGCTTCTGCTGCTACTGCTTCTGCTGCTGCTGCCTTTTCCCGAACCCTGCAGCTACTTCGCACGCTATTGCTGCAGCTGCGGGGAAACGATGAGCCTTCACTTCGACCCCTTTTGTTCGGCGTTGACACCGGGAGCCCCCTTTTCAAGGAGGATCCCCTACTGGGGGTCTTCTTAGCCTTGCTTGCGCTGCTACGGCCTTCATTTTTGATCCCTTCGGGAGCCCTTCTTCCCCTCATGGGTCCCTTGGTCTTCTGCGGAGTTGCACCTGCAGCAGCTGCTGCAGCTGCTGCTGCAAGCCGCCGACTCCTAGGCAGTACTGTCATTGTGGCAGCAGCAAGAGATGCGTTGCTGCGAAGGACCTGAGACACTTGCTCCAGCAGCCGCTTCTGCGCTGCAGCAGCGGCAACTGTAGATTTTGTTGCTCCTGCAGGAGCAGTAAGGCTCGCTAGAGAGCTGGTGCTGCAGACAGACGAAGTTGAGAAGCGGCCTGTGCTGCTGCCCGTACCCCACTGCAACGAAACGCAGCCAATCCAGCAACTGCTGCAGCAGCGCGAGCTGCCACATGCGCACTCCTTACCGGGTGCTGCGCCCCAGTGAGGTCCCTGGATTGCCCCTAACAGGTGAGAGGTTGGAGGCCCCTCCCCTTGCTGCTGAGACGGCCGGGGGGTTAGGCCCGTGTGCAGGTCCTGAAGACTGGATAGGCACTGGCTCACGTTGCGGCAGCTGCTGCTGCTGCTTCTCGCCACGTCCTCTCCCTCGGCTGCTGTTGCTGGCTGGCTTGCTGCTGCCGCTGCTGGTGCTGAGGGCGGGTCGCTTAAGGGCTCACCGCAGACCCCAAGTAAGCCATCAGCAAGTGTCTCCCCATCTTCAAGTTGGGGCTGGGTCTTTGCTTGTGTTGCTGCTGCTTCCGCTGCTGCTTCGGGTGCAGCTTGCGTTTCATTCGGTGCTATTTCGGCATCCTCACTTATCAAGGGGGATGGTGGGGACGAGGCCCAAGAAGCCTCACTAACAACACCTGTATCGGCCTTGGCTGCCGATCTTGCTGTTGCTTCTTTCGCTGGTGCTACCCCTGCTGATGCTTCAGGTGGAGCAGCAACAGGCATAGAAAAATTGCAGGCTTCATGTGCGTCCTGCGTCCCCATGTGCCCCTGCAGAGCCTCAGTGGCCCCCTGGACTGCGGTTTTGGAGCCTTCCTTGTGCCGCGACAGGAGCCCAAGAGGGCCCTCATGAGGAGCTCCGCGGGGGAGACCTCTAACTCTCAGGACGCGGGGCCCCTTGGGAGCTACGAATGTCGATTCTAGCGCTCGCGCTTGGCGCTGTTGCTGGTGTGGCTGTCGCCTCAAGTTGTTGCGCGGAGTCGACTCAGTCTCCGGCCTTTCTTCATTCAGTGGACCGCATTTGGCTGCATCCTGGGAATGAGCTTGGTGTCTTTGGGAGACACGGGAGAGGGCTGGAGAACGTGCATCGACTGAGGGACGAAGGCTTTGCTTGACAGGGGCAGAGGGACAGTTTCCAGATGCTGCTGCTGTTGCGGCTGCCGGTCGAGTCGGTAGATCTCCAGATCCCTCGAAAAGCCCGGAGCGCGCAGCACGGAGTCTTGTACATTTGGTGTGTTGTTGCTGCAGCTGAATCTGGCTTTGATCTTGTAGCGGCTGTTGCTTCTGCCTTAGCCTCTTGGAAGATGACATGCCGGGGTTCCCTCCTAGAGAAATGCTGGTCTGCTGCTTTTCTCTTAGGGGGGCATCCCCCTAAAAATATCTACTGAAAGTTAAGACGAAACGAAGGGATGGTTCAAAAAAAGGGGAAAATTGCCATATGATCCTGTTGCCACTGCTGCTGGGGGCGCCGCCGACAGCTTCAGCAATGCTGCGCAGTTCTGGCTGTCTCTCTCAGATCTTATCACGCAACAAAGTACAAAGTACATTTTGAAGATTAAAAGGAAACACAGAAAATGAGCAGAAGGATCGGCTGCCCGAATCAGATGCCGCTGCCCTGCAGGGTTCGTCGGTCGCAGCCTCAGTTACTGCAGTAGTGGCGGCAGCGGCGGCAGCGGCTGCGGCTGCGCATGCTGGGGCTGCTGTTATTTACACTTACTTTGCAACTGCGTAATAGCATGGAGCTATCAAGCTTATTTTGCGCCAACCAAGTAAAACAGAAGAGAGAGAGCCTGTAAAGCGGCAGCAGCGGGACACTGGGGCAAAATGTGTTCTGATTGGCCAGATGCCAACCAGAAGACCTCTTGCTGCTAGTGCTCTTGCTGCATATTTTCTGTCGCTTCAGTCTCCAAGTTAGTCATATGTGCCCCTTTTTTATTAACACATCTGATAGTAGAGCGAGAGTAGCGGCGCTGCGAGGTACTCAACACCACAAGATGCTGCTTAGAGAGGGTGATGGGGATGGATTCTTTGAAAAAAATGTGTAGGAGGCCTCGCCTCTATTGAGGCTACTTTCCAGAACACAGAAAGATGTGTTATTATGTGAGAGATAAAGAAAGTAAAGGTCACTAGGTTCGACTAAATACGGCGCAGATAGAAATGGAAAGTGGGGAGTTGAAGCAAATTTTGTAGGTAAAATGAGCACGCAGATGCCTGTATTCAAGAAGTGCTACCACTGAAATAACATAGTGAAGACTCCCAGTATCAGAGCAACACTCAAACAGCGGAACTTGGAGGGTACTCCGCTTCGTCGAGCGCAAACGCCAACCAAACACTCATACACACCGGAAGGGCATTATTCTGTGAGAAAGGAAGACAGCAGCGGGCTAATGTGATGACCTCGTTAGGAGAAGGACGCTTAACGTTTTTATGTGTCGGACATACTCGGCTACACTAGGCCCTCACTAAAACGATGACCGGTAAACTGCATTTACTGTTTGCCAAGTGCCTTCAGGCAACACGCTTGTCTCCCTTAAAGCATAAAAAGAGCTATTTGAACGCTTTCACGCTTTCGCCTGTTGTCCACACCGACAGGAATTCCACTGGATCGATTCGGGCAGCTCGCCCTCTGCCCGCAGCTCATTGCGGGCCTCCACTGGCGTAGGAGCCTGTTGAGGCCCACAGCATACTTGGGACTCTCCGTAGCTTTCACGATCCAACCTGAAAGTCACTGGGGTCGACAACCACAATCCCAGATAGAAGCGAGTATACCCCGTGGCTTTTTTTCAATTTCAGTGGTCACCGGTGACTTGCCGCTTTGTCGTGGACTCGAAGTCCCAGAATTTCCATACAGCCGCCATACTGTAGGAAGTATCGAACAGCAGCCCAGCTCCATAAATTAGCTACATTCAAATCTCTTAATGGTACTTCGCTCTTAAACCAAGACAAGATTTCCTATATCATGCTGCGTGGGGCTACTTTCAAAAATCTGTTACTTTCCAGCATAAGCTACGTAATGGAGGGCAATTTAGCAATGCAGGACTGATATAACCACGGCTTGCACACATTAAAGGAATGTAGCTCACCTAAAGAAACCCGTACACACAAAATGGCATCGCATCCGTACAGTAGAAGAAAGGGCGAAACTGCCGTCGACATATGAGTCGGGATCTTGCGGACTGTTGCCAGAGGGGGAAGAAGAGGGCTGCTTCTATGTTTGTAGCCCATCGTAGGAGCATGCCTTCCCTTTCTGGGGCTTGCATATAGTTTCGTACCACTGTCTCTGTTGGTTTATGCTGCAAATTTTGGCTGCACCTAAAAGCTTCGCAGCCCACGGAGGCTGTGGTTCCCAAAATCGAAAAGCTGCCAGTACGTCCATGGCTGGGCATCAACAGATCTACTGGCTTTCCGTTGCTTCATTCTAATAGGTTTTCTTTAGATCGTGAAGCAGTCTGACAAGACCAACCTGGCTATAGCGCGTATGGTTGTCGTAGGCAAGGGCCAGAAGAAAACTACGGCCGAGACCTTTATTTGTCATCCTTTCAGCAGTCCGGACATACTTTGACAGCGCGTCTCGCTGACTTTACTTATGCCTGCAACGTGGGATTTTCTAGAGTATGCGGAACCCCTGAGCCTGGCGGTAAGACCCTGAGCAGCTTTACTTCCCCTTCTTTCCATAGGAGTTCGGGCTGTACTGCAACCCCGTGGTGGCTTGGCTCTGCAGTATCACGTCCCCTCAACGTGCCGCACTGCCTAGCTGCTACCTGTAATTCTGTAACAGCTCCAGCTGTTCCCGCTACCGCTGCAGCACGTCGCATAGCACCATTATGCTCAACTTGTTCGTTTCACCCTGCTGCTCTCGCAGCTTCCGTGGCGCTGCATCAGGGACTACACTCTAACCGACTGTGAAGACACGGAGCCACCGCTACCAATGATGCAGCTATCACCGCTCAAACGTTTGGTCGCTTCGGAGTACCAAATAATTTGGAATGTGATGCCCAGCAGCAGCTCACCTCTGTGGGTAGTACAGCAGCAGAGAGGAACTGCTGCAAAGTGGAGTGCTGCGAGCCACTTTTTGGTTCAGCAGCAGCATCAACAAACCAGCCGCAAACAAAAGAGAAGCCTCAAAGACAGCAGCAACGCAACCAATGATGCAGCACAGGAAGATGCGGCACACATGAAGAAAAGCAAGCGGCAGCAAACCGAATCGCGCAAGGCACGCGAGCAGCTCGGTGCCTGTACACCTTCTTGTAACTGCTATATGATTTTGCAGCGCCTCCATTGTAGTGCGCAGCAGTAGAGGGCCGAGAAGTTCAGAACCTACTGCTACAAACTGCGGAGGCCACATCGCCAGAGCTGTCTGCTCCTTGACGTACCTTTCGACAAAATATTCCTACAGAAAAAATCAATTTTGCTAGAGCAGCATGGAGCAATTGGTGCAAAGCTCTTCAGCGACATTTCTATGAAGTGTCCCTCGCCCGCTGAAAGCAGTTCTGATGTTTCAGTAATGACGGGCAAGCCCCATATGTGTTGAACAGATCCTCCAGTTCAATGGTGACAATTTCGTTTTCCGTCGCCGTCTGAGCTGCTGCTGGGACATCTGCCCGTGTCACCTCTGCAGGCCCCTTGGAGCCAAAGGCGACTGGCAGTGGTGACCCTTCAACAGCGTCCTCTGTCACTGCCGTAGCGCCATGTGCTTTGTGAGTCGGGCTACTTCTCGCCTGTTTCACAGGTGAGCTCGCAAGTGAGCCAATTCTTGCTGCCACGCTTGACCTGCGGCGCTTGCTGCCGCTTCGTCTGTCACCAGGGACCGTAGGGGAGCCCATGCGGCGTTGCTTTTCTTCAGTCGGCGGACCGTCTTGAGGGCTTCCGAGAGAAGGTGTGGAAGTAGAGGAAGTCGCACTGAACTGTGTTGCCTCCTGAGGAACTTTCCGTATCAATGCTGCAGCTTTTTTACGCGCAGTTGCAGAAAGAACCATGCAGCTCAGTGCGTGTGCTAACTTTGACTCAATGTGAGATGCCACTTCTCGTAGAGCGTCTTCTTCAAACATAAGCAGCTCATCAGGCGGCACGCACTCCGCCACGCCGCCTGAATCCTCGAAAAGAATGGGCAAAAACTGCTCGCCCGAGGTGCCAAAACAATACTCATAGGGTAATTCTGGCTTCTGAAACAAACTAAACCCATGGTCACCACCCATCCCTTCACCAGTTTGCGGGGTCTTCGGTGAAACTGCCGGCAGCGGCGCTTGTGTTGAATACAAAGGCGGTGAGAGCGTCAAAAACTTTAGCCTGTTCAACAGTAACCAACATCACCATGGGAGAAGGCCTCCTATGACCCCGCTGACATGTGTAACTAACGTGAAAAATTAGCACTGCAGCTCCGAAAAAACCGTGCGCAAGTTGTCCCGGAGTATGCTTGTACGCTCACTGACGCTGCCAGCATGTTCGCTGGCAAACTTCAACACTGGATATTCACTCCTTCATAGCCTCACGGCCTTAGCTGTCGAGGAGACACGGCCTACATTAAACACAGTTACTATAAAAGGGACGTGCGCATGAGCAAATTCGCCAGTAGCAGCTTACCACAAATTCATGGGGTTAACGATGCAGTTTGCATGGCGAGGAGGAGGACGCGCTTGCGCCTCTCCTGTTCGATTCCTCTGCTCTCGAATGCCACAGCACAATTCAAAGGAACGCGACTAGGAGCAAAATTCATTAAGCATATGGACTGTGAAGTGTGCTGACGGCTAGTGACAGCACGAAAGAGGGCCAATAGGCATCCACTACACGAGCAACGCAAAAACTTCTGTAAACATTACTTGGAGACCTCGGTGGGCTAAATACAAGGGTGTGAAAAGTGTCGCACCAAGTCAACAATCCGAGGGAAACGGGGCTGCCAGAGATACGCCTGCATTTCTTGTTCGTCTAGAGCAAGGAAATGCAAGACGTTGCGCCGATCTGCTTGCAGCCGAAGAGCCCCCAGGTAGTCCTTGAGAAAACAAACAGGAACTTCCTAAAAACGTCCTGTCAAGTGAAGTCGTCACTACCGCCGAAAGCATGAAATGGCAGCTATTGATTTGCCATAAACGAGCTCTTGCAGTTGCCACACCAGCAAACGTGGCCCTTTCTATGGCAATCAACTGCAATGCTATGAAAGGCAACTAATGGTGTAGAGTGAACAATGACAACGATCAAGGAAACAAAACATAAGCATTGGGCGAGGCTTGCGTACTGCTCTGTCAATGAGTCCTTCAACGGTTTTAAACTGTTCCGTAAGTTTCTTCTTCTCCACAAGCTCCATTACTTCAGGTGGGGGAGAAAGTTGCAACCAAGAGGAACTGCAGGCCGCAGCCCCTAGCCACCATGACGGGCTCATCTGCTCGCGATACTCTGTGTGAAACGAATTCGTTCCTAGCAACCCGCCAAGATTCAACTGAGGTCGAGGCGCAGGCGTACTAACCCTGCGAGCGACGGTTGACCGGGATGAAGGCGTGCCTGAGCTGCTGCTGCGCCCAGTCGTGCAGCCGCGACCCCCAGGTGCGCTGGCGCTGCTGCTGACTGTGCTGCTCCCAGCGCTACCGCAACCTCGTCTCAGCCCCACTCCTGCACAAAAATAGCAGTAAAATATGCTCGTGGCTCAGCAGCCTCTCGAACGACGGGGGCGGCAGAGGGCGTGATCTCTGCCTGGTCAAGGTGTAAAATTGAGAGATGCGCTCTTGAATAGTTCCGGCCTTCCCCCCGCTGCCAACCGGGCTAGTGTGAAATAAGCACAGTAGATAAAACAGCTGCTCTCACGGGGAATACGAGGCGCATCAGTCGGGCCCTTATTTTCTTTTAGCGCACCTGCCCTGCTGTCCAACGAGAGTCCGTAGTCTGGCATGTTGCGAGAAGGAACAGGCTTTGGGGGTGTCTTTGGCATTGCAGATAGCCCCAGCACTCCCATTTGGGAAGGAGGCAGCCCATCTGTGAGCTTCATTCTGGGGAAGCACTAGGCCCTGAAGATGTGATGAACGGGCTGTAAGGCGGGACGCTACAAAGCGCCCTGGTGCCCCCAAAGTTAAGCTACTACGGCAATGTTCAAAACGCTGAATACTTCTCCACAAGAATGCGAAGAGGCTTCCAAATGAATAAACCTGAGCCGGCGTTGGTGAGGACGTTGGAAGCTGCTGGGTCTGTGTAGTGCTGACTCACAACATGCGATCACAGCCGCTCCCGTACACCTGCATTAAAAAAAATTAACAAAGGTTGAATTAAAGTAAAAAATATAGTTTAGACACACGAAGTACAGTTAACAGTATGAGGGATTAGGAGCTAACTCTCCGTCCGCCATTCGCGACCTCGTACTCAACCAACAACAACGCCAGCCCCAATGATGTCTGTGCCTTTAGTTTGACGACCCTACCTGGCTTTGCATTAGTCCATTTCCAGTTCTCGTCTGTCTTGATAAGTAACAGACCGAGAAGTCCATGTTATCATCTCGAAGTGTACCCCTGTTGCCCGGAAGGACTATGCAGCATTTATTGGCTCGCTGCGCTGAACCATATTGCAGATAATTCGAATCTTCCATCTCTTTTTGAGGTGACTCACTGCTGTGTAACTCCTTGGGAGGCTTCAAGACATTGTGCCTCCGACCCGCGGAAGACAACAGAGCAGCTTGTTCGTGAATACGCCCACCTCCGAACTCCGCAGCTACACTGCGTACGTGTTTCGCACGTGGTTATTCATTCCTTGGTTGTGAATCTGGCACCTTTTTTGCATCCAGTAATGAGACATGGAGCAGTCAAGTGATCCTGTACGCACTCTCGCGAGAGCTTCCCATGTCTGCGAGTGCTGCTCCCGACCAGTTGTAATCATGGTGGACACAGATTCTCCCCCAGCGGACACGGCTTCTGCTCAGAAAAGTAGGCAACTGGGAACGGAAGATTCAGGTCAATATGACTTGTTGCGCACGGCTGTCCATGCGGAAGGCGCTTATGCGCCCAATTCCTCCAGTCGGGATGCGCCTGTCGTGCTGCCCTCTACACGAGATGGGCTATGTGTCCAGTTGGAACTTTACACGTTTTCAGAGGAAGACGGTGTCAGCTGCATTTCCAGCTCATGTTCACCTTCGTTGCTTACAAAGCGTGCAGATGGCAAGGCACTTGACGTTTCTGGAATGGATGGTGCAGAGGGTTCTAAAGTGCTGTATCCTCTATGCTCGGCTTGCCTAGAGAGCGCCATTGCTGAAATGGAGCCAGCCTGCGCTCACGAAAGATACCTCATACGCAAGTATGAGAGGGCTTTAAAAAGGCTGGAGCGGAGCCTCCAGGTGCGCCGTGATGACGTCTACTCGTCTTCGTTTGACAGTGCAAGCACTATGGCGGAACTACAGAAGTTAGAAGAAGAAGAAAAACAGCTCGAGGCAGAAATAATTTCTCTTGAAGCATCCACGGCGGAGAAAGAAGAGCAGCAGCGGGCGGTCATGGCAGAGTTGGTTGAGCTACATATGTGGCACGTGGAGTTCTGGTTGCTCTTTTCGAACCATTTGCTGCGCATGATTCGTCATGAGGAAGTCAGCCGCCTTCATCTTTTCTTAATTTGTCTTGTTTGTTGTGAGATTTCTAGAGGGGCTTTGTGGCTAATAGTAGGTAATGGAGGCAGAAGCGGCAAGTCGCAGTTGCTTTTAAGCTTACTGAAACTGAGACATATCCACTAGGTCCCATTTTTCATTGGGATCTGGAAAGCAGTTGCTCCACTTTTGATATGAAATGTGTCGATCACGGCAAGATTCACTATTCGTTTACTTTCATCGTGGAATTAGCATTTCCGTCCCTGCTGCTCCTCCGCATGTGACCTCTCAGCGGAAGCGAGCCATGGAGCGGCTCTTTGTCTACGTTGGCCGGGAGCTCCAGCGGCTGAAACGCATCAACGTGGTGAACGATGCCTTCCATATATGGACCTGCAAATTTTTGCCGTCCATTAACAAGTGCAGAATAGGTGGGGACGGAACAGGCTGGCACGGACAATAAGTAGCAGGAAATCCCATCCATTTTGGGTTTGCACCTCTTGTTTATGCAGATGTTGGTAATTGTGTTAGCAGATGAGGAAATAATTGTGTTGCACTGGTTGGTTTTGCCATCAGGGCGGATCTCTTCTCCTTCTTGCCCCTCGTGGTCTGAGGTGAACACTGGCTGGGGCTATCTCTGTATGCTGCTAGACGTTTTCTACCGGAAATGTCATACTCAGCCATCCAACTACCGACTAGTGGCGAGGGGGCAATTTTCGTTCTTGATTAGGTAACTGATGTTTGCTGGTTTTCTTCGCTGTGTTGGCTTGTCAGAAGGAAACTGCATGTGACCGTGCCACACAGCAGTGGGTCCTCATGAATGATATTATATACTACCTTTGACATGCATAGGGACAGTGAACATCATCTAGCGATCATTTGTATTCATGTATATTTAATCGCCGCTGTGACTGTGCGTTGTTGCGGCTAGAAAGAAAGATGGGGCCGTCCTCCCACTTCACGGTGGCGGTGGGGAAGTCGGGCTCAGCCGTTTCTTTTACAGCAATAAAAGGTTCGACTCTGCGATGACCGCATTTTTAGAATGCGTTAAAGAAGTAAGCGATGCCATGTATGCGATCTTTTGGATCTTTGGTCACATGAAGAGGGGGATTCTGATAGCCTCGCGCGCCCGCTTCTGTTCGCAAACAATGTGCCTTCGCAGCTGTTCGACCAACTTGTTACTTCGGCGGAAGGACGGGGAAGACAGCAAGGTGTCGCGTCTTTATTGCCTTTTCCAGAGCTTCCTTACGAAATAGATGGTATATTAACATGCTGAGACCCTCTTCATGAGACAATTCGAAAGTTCATAGCACCGAACTGGATTGGGTTTTTCAACTCAAAAATCGCTTGAAGCGCTTCTGTGGACTTTTGCAGGAGATAGGGTGGGTGGTTTCAGTATCCGCTTGCAGCTGAACCAGGATGAGCGGTGGACGAAAGCCCTGAAGCTTCTTCTAATAGATATGAAGTGGCTGCTGGAATACATAGAACGTAAGGCAGCATCGACGCCGCATGCAGCAGTAGCAATAAGCAGAGCGATGGCTTGCTTAGACAGACAAGCCAGTAGCGATAGAATTGGACCGTATGGTCCACAGGTGCCATATCTAACTTGCTGGTTTTCCTCTCTCAGGTGTATGCTTGGTGGCGGGCTCTGCACCGTAAACAGCGGAATACGACTACCGGCTAGAGGTAGTTGTTCCTGCCACCAGATTTATCGCAAGTCCGAATCTAGCTTAAGTCAGGTATTCATCTGGAGAGGGCGAAGACCTGACAACACTGACGAGCAAAGTTGCTGCGCGGCAACGCGTCTAGTATCTGCAGCGCAGCCGGCTCAAGGCATGGGCAGTGCGGGAAATGGATGGAGCGAGGGGACGCACACCAACACACAGCCCCTTAATCAATAACTAAGCTAAATACTGACCAGTCAAGATTAAGAGCAAGCAGGTGGGGCTATGGAACGGCACTGGCTCCTCGGCATTGGGCCGACGCAAGCTTCCAGAACCGTTTGATGGCCCAGGAATTGCGGGAATCGTGGTGAATTGCTGTATCGCAAGCCCCAGCACTTGCGATACCTGCTGACGTTATTTCTTCATGGATCACTTAATGCAGCTACTTGCGTTGCGCTGCTGCCTAGAGTGATACACGTTGGTAGTAGCGATAGCCCCGGTACACTCCGCAACTCACTAATTAGGATTAAAGCACCACTGAGTTTTGTTTTGGGCTGGGCAGTACGGAGGCCGTAAAGTGTAGCTATTTCCCAAGGCTTATCTCCATCCACAAAGCAGGCGCGGCAGTAACGCAAAAGACGTTGCAGCGGGAAAGAGTTGCACAGCGGAGCAGATAAATTACAGTGCCTAGTAGTTTCGTCACCGGAAGTTGCCGCTCGCTGCCTAGCGAACAGCGTGGATGTGAAAAGCCGAAGCAGAGTTCCGGCGAGAAGACTGAACGCAGGACTAGATATCTCTTCAGCTTTCCTCTAAAGTAATATGCTCGCCATCCATGCAGTTGACGCCCTACTTCACACTGGCATCTCCGCAGCTTTCCTCTGAAGTGAGATGTTCCTCATCCATGCAGTTAACGTCATACTTCACACTGGGGGGACGGTCAGATATCCACCAAGCAAGAGGATAACCCGTTCCTTTCCTACTAGTATGGCAGCCTTCCGCAGTATGGCATATCAAGAAGTCCATCAAACCGCAACACGGCTTTAGAAGCTGCATGTGCAGCTGCTTATCTTGCTGCAAAGTCGCTCCACGAGCTAAGTAGAGTGGCGGCACTCAATAGCATACTTTAAGGAACGCTTCAAAGATGCGTAGCTGAACTGCTTGGAGATAATTGCGTACTTTAGGGAACGCTTTAGAGATGCGTAGCTGCACTGCTTATCTCTGCAGGAAAAATGTCCAGTTGCTCAATCTCTTTGGGAGGTGATTAGTTTAGACCTTCGCGAACTGGACGGTAGGTACGGGGCTCTCGTCAGCCGTGAATGCCACCCGCACAACAGTTGCCACCGTTTTGAATTGTGTACTGGTAGAGCAGTTGTCCAGTAGCAACGCCACCAACAACAGCCAAAAACAACCCCGCATTGAATGTCATGCATACCAGCATCATAGCCCAGTCTATTGTAACGAAGACAAACATCAGAAACCTGAAGCACACCACAGCACAGTGCCACAGAAACTCCACAGCAAGCTAACGGTGCAGCTTCTAGCTGATCGGGAACTTTCTATGCAGGTTGCGAAGGCACTGACTTTCATAAAAGTGCAACTATATCTAAAGGCAAAAATTAAAAATCAATACGAAGGTGGGTGCAACATTACCACCGAATGAAAGGCTTGGCCCTCAACCAACGCTGGCTTCTGTCGGTCTGGCCTGGCAGGCAAAACGGAGACACAGGAGGAGGCGTTCTCGCCATTTTTACCTTTTACCACTATTGTTAGGAAGCGGTGGCCGCTTACTTTGTTGACTGTTGATGGACACCTCAGTCCACGACCCTGACTGCAAGTTGTACGGCGACTGCAGACCGCCAGCTTGAAGCAAGGGAGGAGCTCCAGTCCATCTATCATTTTCAGTTGTCATAGGGCTTTGCGAGCTGTTAATTTCATTGGATCCCCCTGTCGCTGTAGGCACAGAAGTGCCGGAGCACCCAGTACCTATAACAGGTGCCGCGGCCTGTGGCTGCCCTTGTTGGATATCGTGGCATATTGATTTCAACTTCGAGCTTCAGATCGCAACGCACACATTCTAAAGTGTTTTCAAATGGAGCCAGGCTGGGCTCCTCTCCCTGCGAATTCTCGTAGATTGCAGTGGACGTGTGAGGTGGCAGGATCCTTCAATACTCCTTAAAAACCACGAAGGCAAACGAAAGATTCTATGGCTGCAGTTTTCTGACGAAAAGAAGGCAATTACTAACCTGCCAAGGCACAATATAAAAATGCAAAGGCAGGAAAGGTAGAACTCTGTTGCTGTAGAGCACTCCCACCACCTGAAGAAAACAATCCGATAGACGCACGAAAAAACAAATCAACCTTTTAAAGGCATTTTTATGTTCCTTCTGCCTGGGTTTCCATTCACAGTCGGTGTGCTAAAAGCGTTGTGGTTTGGTTATACAGCTGGCAATTTCCTTACGGAAAGAGGATGGTGGCGTCGTAGCCCCAATAAAAGGTCATCTGCATCTCCATCTTCGCTGCTGTTCAAACTGAGGGTTTCCTTCGGCTTCGAAGAAACTTAGATTTATTCAGCAGTCGCTAGGGGGCCTTTGAAAGATCAGCATTCATGTTTCCCTCCGACAAGTACTAGACGGGGGTGAGCACACAAGGGCGTAGAACTCTACAACCAGTAGCAGATAGTCATATCAGTCTGGAAAGACGTAAAATTTGGATGGCCTTTGAAGCGTTGAAATGCAGGCCAGCACTCCCGATGCGACTAGCCTGAATCTAGATGGTCACAATGTGATAGGTTCTTCGTCGTTAGGGCGATAACGAAATTAGGTAGGCACCACGTAGCTTAACTTGAGATACTAGCAACGCTCAGAAGTGCAGAGAACAAATGCATGCCTGAATACAGTCACAGACATGAATGTTCCCTGCGCAAAGAGCAAGCTGACACGGCCGACTGGGCTGCCTATACAGTTTAATAGCCTGAAGAGCACGTAATAGGCATTGTTGACTAGATACAGCGAATGATTTTGCTGAAACGATCTCAAATGACGGAGAGTTTAATATAGAAAGAAACGAGTGCTCTGAACGCGCATGCCACACGCAGCTTGGCGGACAGGTCGCAGACCCGCACCAGCAACACGCTGAGTCATGACACTACATTGTGCAAAAACTGTAGAGGAAACTGCAGCCTCATTTGAATAAGTTGTAATTTAAAAACCCTGGGCGCCTATTGAAGAGGCAGTCCTAAGCGAACACTGCCGTAAATCTGCAGTTTATCCTCGGACTGTAAAAGGAATCGAAGCCCCTAAATGGGGTCTTCGCGCGTGGATCTTCTCCTCAATAACGTATTCGCATTTGATGCTGTACTCATATAGAGATTCAGCGAAGAATTCGAAAGGGCAGGCTTCGTGCAGCACTGGTGGTCCACCGGGGTCTTATCAGCCCCACAAGGAGGACAGCGCCATTGGCCAGCGCAATGAGTATAGCAAGTTTTCTCGGAAGTTTTTAAAGAAAAGTCGGCGCATGAAGTGGCTACACGTTGCTCATCTTTCCTGGGGAGCTTGAGCCTTTCCCCCCAAGCACCCATGCGAGAAGAACTTGAACCAGGTAGTCCTTGATCCGTAGACCGATTGCACATGACCGTAAGGAGATCTCACTTGTCACAATATCTTGGCACGGTCTGGACTTCTGTATAGTGAATAGCGGGACGGGAAAGCGGCCACCTGCCGCAGAGAAAGGACGTGTGTTCGTTGGCTGGGAGCCTTCTACCAGTTGTACCCATGGGCGGCACAACCGGCGAACAGGCTACTGATGCCAGCGGCTCCCAACCAGAGGAACAACAGTCCAATTGCCTACTTACAGAATCTCAAGGTGCTGCTAGTGACTTTGCGGATCTCCATGGTGACGTAGCTAACCTAGGGGGCAGCGAACCCGTGCTGGATTCTGTGGAAGTGGAGAGCTCAGTTACATCGGAGGACGATGAGGATACGAATAGTGATTCCAGCGAAACCACAACAGGAGACGCGTCACACATATCTAACGTGATCACGTCAGCAGAGACCACTTGGTGCGTTCACCAGGAAGCCAGCAAGGCGGACGCTGACCCAGTGGTTTCCTTCTTCGCCCAACTCATCAGCTCGCATTCTGTAGGCCCCACATTAAAGGGTTTATTGTGACTTAAAACGGAATATGGGGTGGCTGTTGTGCCAGCGTTCACTGAGTATTTTCACGAGGGTGTTTAAGCGGCCGTAATGAATACACGGAACTGTGCTCTCGCTGGGTTTGTGTCTGCGCATGATTCTTTTAATTCAGTTTCTGCGACACGTAGTCTTCCATTTGTCTGCCTCCTCATGTGGTGCGTTGGTTGTTTAAGCGGCCGTAATGAGTACACGGAACTGTGCTCTCGCTGGGTTTATATCTGCGCATGATTCTTTCAATTCAGTTTCTGCGACACCTAGTCTTCCATTTATCTGCGTCCTCATGTGGTGCGTTGGTATTCACAGCTTGAGAAAGCAACAACTGCAGAAGTTGCCGAGCCCCCTGCTGTTTCTTTGGGAAGCAGCTCGTCCACACTAAAGGTTGGTCCCACGACAAAGCTCAGCACGGAGCGTAGCTCCCTGGATGCATCTACATGTGGCCGCCCACCTGATGAGAAATCCTCAGGTAGGGTTTTAGAGGCGCAGAAGCTCCGTGGAAACGGATTGGCGGTGGACAGCGGCACACTCCAGTTCAAAAGGGCGGAAAGTGCTTGCGTGGCTGACGGCTGCATTGATACGCAGTTAAGGGAACACGTCGCTGCTTCTCTAAAACGTACGTGAATTCGGACAGTCCCGCTCCTCTTAGCTCCCGTCTGCTTAATGACGGGGCCTTGGTTTCTGTATGGCGTTCCTTTCTTGCCACAGCATCAGTGCCTCGCTCTATACGTTATTCATTCGCCGATGGCGAAGAATTTGGATGTAGAAATTAGGAGGAAATATCACTGTAGCTGTTTGTTCTACAGCTTCTGTGGCGAATCCCTAGCACGGCTATTCCTCAGGATGATATGCTTTTGTGTTTAGGTGCTAACTTCCCTCACATCCTCGGCAGCATACGGTCAGCAATCCTAGACAACCCGCAGGTTTTTGGTTTTTCCAGTTCGGAGGGGACAACAGAGGGCGGTGATGAAAGGAAACAGCATGCCTCAGTTTCTGCTAATTGTCGGCAACCAGCAAAGAAGCATGGGTTCATCGCGCAGTTGGGGGCAGACTTGGGGGAGTCGTTACTGCCCCCAGCCATTCCTGTCGACCGCGAGTTCTGCAGAGTCAATCCGCGCCTTGCCGTGTCTTGGCTTGCGCAAACGCGACTTAACGAGATGCTTGAAGGGGGCCTGCCAGAGCAGCGTGCTCTGGGGACACAACGACCCGACAGACATACGCAAGCACAGCTAGCCTGTCTGGTGGCCCCAGAAAGCCTGATGTGTCAGCCTCATGCTATGGAAGCTGCTACACGTTCCATGCCAAACCCCGCGAGAGGTGCATTAAAGAAAGTGATTGATAATATCACGGGCAACCTCGATGTGGAAAATGCAGAAGCCCTTGCAGATCTCTTGCACTCATGGTATTACTCTGGCTTCTTTGCCGGCCAACTTGAGGGTGTACGGAACGCTTGGTGACTCTAGTGGGTGTAAAGCCCCTCTCCGTTATTCCAATGTACAAAAAGTAGGGGCTGCAGAAACACACCTACTGCCGAGAACCTACACACAGGCTACTACAGAGCCGGCCAAGCACTCTTCCAAGTAACAATGAACGCGAACAGCATTACTTGAGGAATTATTGGAGTGCCCGATCTCCCGAGTACCAGTGAACGCGAATAGCGATACTTGTGGAGTTGTTGAAGTGCTCAGAATCTGCTGTTTTCCTAGCTAGGCAGAAAGACACAGCACACGTATTTACATCAACCTCCGGGGTCAGAAGTAGGCTTTTGCAGGGACAGCTTGATATGCAGTGGTAGTGTGCAGTGGCGTTTCCAGCGCTCATATGCTTTTGCGCAGTTTCGGAGCAATGCGAAGATTTGTCCTTGGACCCGCAGGACGTTGACGTAACAAGATTGTGCCTGTTTTCCCTCAGAAGCGCAATGGTCAAGTCATTTATTGCAACGATGTTCTAGTCGCGTGCTCTGTACGTGTCGTTCAAGTCTGTGCCAATCGATGCAGGAGTGATCCCACTGCTTAGTGGCTTCCCTTTTCGGGGGAAAACGTATTCGGTATAGCTTCCAAACTTTCCAGGTTGGGACAGTGACAAGGCTGCTGAAACGGACATCTCGAAGTGCTGTAGAACCAGTGATGGCGCTTGACGAATTACAGTGCAGGGCAGATCAACAAGTACAAGCCTGAGAGGAAGGCGCAATATTGGACTGCAACTCGTGGAGAACCAAATAATTCCTCTCGTTGCTACAGCGCCTGTGAAGCTCAACTGCAGAACAGAGTCCGCCCACACAGCATCGGTGGTGCGTTTCGACGCGTTTGAATTGGTATGCTATGTCTAGAGGATGGCGGAGCGATTGTTCAGTAGAGCCGCATTTATATGCTATAGTCCATTCGAACCCTTTTGTTTAAAGACGTTCTCAACGACGTCTGCCACGTACGTTAAGTTGAATGAACACATATAAGTTGGTTAGGCCGTCCAGCCAACGGATCAAGACAGCGAGAGACGCAACTTTCTTGCATTATGTTCGCAGTAGTTTCGCCTGAGGTCGATATCCGCAAAGTCTAGTATTTCGATGTGCGAAAAATTTAACGGTCCTGGGTCGCCGAGACAGCGATTTTGTGGGCGCAGAACCACGATGAGACTCCTTGGTAGTTCCTCCGCAATTCCGACAGCCTCAGAAACTGAGAGCGAGGTCGAGTCTAAGGAACGCCGTCTGTTGTGATGCAGATATGCACAATGGCGGCTTCAGATACTGCCGTAGCCCGTCGATCACAGTTTGTTAATTCTCTCCGGAATATTTTTACGCCTATAACGGTTCATTTTAGTGATGGAAGCGGGAAGAGATTCGCGGATTTCCAATGTGTTAATGCACCACTGTGGTGGTCGCTGTGTGAGAGTTCCGTATGAGCTGGATGGTGATGCTGGAAGGGAAACACACAGATTTTAGTTGCTTCCCGGTCCAAAGACCACAAGAAAATAGTACGCATTTTTTGTAAAATGCGTCACTGCATTATTTTAGGAACAGTAGCTTATGAAGCAACCTTTCGACCGGGTCGGCCACTAACGTTCTTACAAGCAGATTACCCGAATAAACCAAGCTACATGTAGACGCCCGGGAACCTATGACCCTCTACTTCATATCCATTTTACTGCAAATTTATCCTATTACTGCAATATAAACTAAGAAGTTGGAGGGAACGCATGCACAGTGGAGCCGGGCTGGACGCACAGGGGTGCGCCAGCCGCCTGCTCAACGAATCAAGGCTTTAGTTGGACTTCGGAAAACGGATTTCGCTGCAAATTATATTCTCCGTGTTCATCACGGAGCGCTCATGGCTTTTGCATCATATAGTGATCTGACGAGATTTTTCCCTTAAGGTGGTGCGGAGTGCCGTTCCCTTGTCGAGCTGAAACCAGGTCTTGTTGAACCATGGCGAGCCATGCTGTAGGTCTTGTATTGGCCTTTTACAAAATCTCTCTTCAACAACGCTTAAACACGTATTGGGGAGTCGCCTGAGGGGTTTGGGTATCTGTTGCTGGGATGTTTCGCCTTGGCGCGGCAGTTCCGCATAAAGGCACACGCTTAAAAATGCTGAACTCGGCACAGACATAGCCGAGACAGCGACTATATTCTGATCCGCTTCATCACCTTTGTAACACCACTTTGCAAAATGCCGGCAATTAGGCTCACCATTCCATAGTTGACCGGCACATGCATTGTGTGAATTAGGAGCTTAGGCGGAGCAAAGGCGAAAATCAGGGAATACCAGCTAAGTAATTCTGTTTTTTGTGATATTACTGATACAATCGCTGCTGTGGGCATATGAAATGCAGAGGAAGCGCCTGATCCGTGACTTTCGCAAACTACAGAGTGACCCGCCATTTGGTGTGAGCGGCGCCCCCGTACAAAATGACATTATGCGATGGCATGCTGTAATCTTTGGCCCAGAGGATACCCCGTGGGAGGGAGGTGAGGCTTGCACCAGGGACTGGCTTCGTCCTACACGCGACTCCTGGATGACATGTATTATCTGATACCTCATCACGTCCCGCATCAGAACTTTGCCTGAAACCAGGTGTTTCGTTTCCCGTTTTTAGGAACGTTCCAACTTGAGCTCAAATTCACGAATGAATACCCCAACAAACCTCCACATGTCCGCTTCCTCTCTCGGCTCTTTCACCCCAACGGTGAGTCCCGTACCTTTGTTGCTTGTAGGGTTGTAGAATGCTCTTCACAGAAAATGTGCTTCCGAGCTACGAAATGCGCGGGCTGTTTACTTAGACGACTCTTCCAACTTGGTTTACCAAAAACTTTGGGCGTGCCCGCGGGGTTCAGTAGCACACGGCCCTTGCTTGTTTTTTGCGCAGTCTACACTGACGGAAATATCTGCCTGGACATTTTGCAGGCGCAGTGGAGTCCCATATATGACATATCAGCGATCCTTACATCGATTCAGGTATGATGTAAACAGTTGCAGCCCGTTGAACGACAAAGTCCATATACTGCAGCGAATCAGCTGCCACGCTTGCGCGAACTATGGGAGATTTGTGCATGGCCTGACACAAGAGTCTACGTTCTTAAGCTTCGGCGGTGCTCTCGATCCTCTGCCACCTCGCCCAGTCGTTTTTGGTGCTGTGCTCATGCAGTCGCTACTAAGCGACCCGAACCCTAGTAGCCCGGCTAACCAGGAGGCCGCCCGCTTGTACGCGGAAAATCGGCGTGAATACAACCGCCGGGTTCAGCAATGCGCCACAGAGTCTTGGAAGACGGTCGAAGCACCTGAGTCCGAAGCCTCTCGCGCACTCACAAGTGCTACCGCTGCGGAGCAACCCGTGGACGCAGCTAGACCGTCTGCTTCCCCAGAGAGGCATGTGGGCGAAGCCCCAACGGAGCCAGCGCCTGATAACGGGGAGCACCGGAGAACTCAGGGGGATGGGGGAGGTGATGCGTCATCTTAACAACAGGGAGTGCCGGATAATGCTTGTCAGTGGCACCCATACGTCATGTAGCATGAAGTTGGCTGGGTCTGTTTCGGTAGAAATAGCTTAGCTTGTAGACTATCAAGAGTGAGAGGGGCAGAAAACTGTCTCCAGTCCCGCAGTGAGATGAGACGGCCTCTTGCCGTTCTGTGGCAGCAGCAGATGCCACAGCCCTCGCGTATAGACGAGACAGGATTTTCATTTTCGAGCTGGTCGAAAAAAATGGCGCAAGCTGGGATTTCCAGGGACCGCCCTTCCCGCAGTTCGAGGGGCACGAACGGGGGGCTCTCTGACCCATGAGCCATAGCGAGAGCGCGTCCAGGTTGTCCCAGGTGTTGGTTGCTTGCTGGTGCTCACACCCCGAGTTAAGCCTCGGGGGTTCTTCAACCCTCTGCCGGGCGAGGGCTGCACGATGGCCACGCACGAGCACTTGGCGAGGCGCCTGGCTGCGCGTTGGCAGTGGAGGGAGCCATTTAAACGCTGAACCCTCGACTCTACGGTACCAATGTGAACTAGGCTATGTAGGGTGCACTGTACACCCTCATGGCGTCTGCCTGAAGATACTTTTCGACGCTAACCACACTTTTCTCGAGTCTCCGTAGCACTGAGATTGTTCGTCGCAGCCATTCTCACGGTTCTGGCGCGATGTCAACATAACTTACGCAGCCCTTAAGTGAGGTGCCGAAGGAAGCATGGTGAATCAGGCAGACACGTTGGATTTATCCTTCGCATTGGCCTGTCGGGCGGCCTGGACGGCAGCGTTCATCTCCTCCCTGGAATGGAAGCAGACAATAGGCATATCTAGCTCTTGAAAGCCTTGCAATTAAGAATGAATACTTCAACCCTGTGCATCTCTGCGTCAGATGGGCCGTCATAGACCCGGAGTATTCTACAGCATCTCATCTAGCAACAGCACTTCGCCTAATGGGGTTCCAACAGCCGGTACGACACTTCATGTGCCAAATTTCCTGGTCAGGACATTTTGCCATTTCTCTTAAGAATAGGATCGCAAAGCTCTTACTGTATCTGCAAACTAGTGGGGTCTAAACGAAGAGCCTCCCAAAGCTCAGATATGTAATCTTCAGTGCCACCAGACAGCCGGTGGGCACGCGCTAGCCGATAATGCGCTTTGCTCCATTCGGGGCGCAACTGTGTAGCCTGCACCCGCATGACTCGCATGAGCTGCAGGCAATAAGCAGATGACCAAACCAGGAAGATGGATACAAGCACTTCACATAAACCCTCCAGGCGATCTTTTGATCACCGTGCTGTACTTGCATCAGCGGACAAGGCATCAGATACAGAGCCGTGCGCCAATATTGGTGTGCATGCTTTTTGGTGGCAGTCGCCGAATAATGCTGCAGAGAACGGACGTCGTTAAATATAGCTGGTCCTAGTCCCCACCAGCTCTCAGTTTCTCCTCAGTGAGCTTGTTGAAAATGCTTCGTCTTACCCACTGCGCATCGGCCAAGGCCGCTTCCGCATC